CTGTAAAATATTGACTATTCTTCAGTCTTCTGGGACATTGGCTGTGGCTTGCAACAAGAAGCAAAATAGAAACAGAGTAGACCAGAAATGGAAAATAATGCATTAAGGGCCCCTGAACTCAGTTTGAAAATCCTTGGATAAACAGTATCAGCGAAAAATGGGGTGGCCAGAAAGCCGCAGCAAGATGCAAGTCCCAGAACCAGCAGGAATCGCTGAATTATTACACAGCAAAACAATTAATCATGTATGTTGTAAAGATAACAGCTACAGGATGGCGAGATGTTTCCCTGGAGGTAGAATCATGCAGAAACCGTATGATCTAAGGTCAAAACAGCCATTTGATCATATCAGTTCATGGTGAAAAAATATGACTTTAAAATTTCACTTTACCCAAACGTTACGCTTGGGTTTGAGACTCTGATGGAGATGGGCGAGTGTTGGGGATAACATGAACTCTTACCGACTGGTGGGAATGAAGTGTGTAATGCTCCAGTTCTGCCAGTTTCAAATTTGAGCATATCTGGTCTGCTGATGGATGGCTCAGAAGGGCTAACCCAGTGAAACATCTAGAACTAGTCTGAACTGGAGTTCCATTTTCATAAGACCCATTTGCCTTGTGACGTCCAGTGGAGTCAGGCCTCATGAATCAATGAAATATCAGGAATGTACATTATCAATGAGAAGCAGATTACATTTTAACTGCGGCCTAACTGGGAAGGCTTTACCATCACTTTACCATCAAGTAAAGCCACATCAACAGCTGCGAAAGGTACAAAAGGAGCCTCCAACATCAGTCGAAAATCTTTCTTTTGTGGAGTCAGAAGTGGGGGAGCGACCTCAGGTTAAAATATCCCAATGTGGCCTTTAAGTATTTTGCACTCACCCTACATTGGCATAAAGCCCTTTGGAGCTTAACACCATGTCAGTTCAATCTTCAACGCTTCACTGAAAAGATGGCAGTTAGATAGTTAGAAAAACAGATTAGAAGACATGACCAGGACCCTCTCTTCATACATAGATTAAGACTCTCCTATGACATATGCCCCCTCGAGTCCACTTTAAATAACTTGAAGAAAGGATGGTGACTTGCTTCCCAATGTATTGCAAATTTAGGTGGCAGTGATGGTATTGTGGTAATTAATCTAGTAATCCTGAGGCCCAGGTTAATGTTCTGGGGATGTGATCTCACAGCAGCTAGTGGAATTTAAATGCACTAATGCTGACAGTTGAAAGCTCTCATCAATTGTTGAACAAACCCTTTTGGGTCACTCATGTCCTTTAGTGAAACAAATCTGCCATCCTTACCTGGCCTGGTCTACATGTGACTCCAGACCCACAGCAATGTGGCTGACTTTTAGATGCCCTCCAAAGTATCCTAGAGAGCCATTCAGCTCAAGGGCAATTGGGTTTCTGCCTTTAACACTGACATTCATCGAAAAGAAAACAAAAATCATTTTACAACTGAGGATACATCCAAGAGTGGCCCTCAAATTTACCCTGGAGTAAATGAGACAATCTGAAGTAGTTACTACAACATACTGGTGGTGATGTACAAAAATGGCTGATAGCCTGACTGACATTTATATTCAGTATCAGGATATTTACAAAAGTCTACCTGGGATCAGCAAAGACTTAAGAACGACAATTTCTCCATAACCCCTTTGAGTTCATAGAGTCATACAGCTGTACATCATGGAAATAGACCCTTCGGTCCAACTCATGCATGTTGACCAGATATGCTAAATTAATCTAGTCCCATTTGCCAGCATTTGGCCCATATCCCTCTAAACCCTTCCTATTCATGTACCCATCCAGATGCCTTGCAATTATGCCAGTCTCCACCACTTCCTCTGGCAGCTCATTCCATACATGCAACTGTGTGAAAAATTTGTCCGTTGGGTCCCATTTAAGTCTTGAGCCAAGAATGTCCAGATGTCCTTCCAAATGTCATCTCTTTGTAGGCTCAAGAGGAGGTATTTTTTAATGCAAGCTCCTGGCAGCTGTGGTTTAATTTCTCCTTCACTCCCTATTACAACAATTCATAAATTGCTGTAAAAGGTTGTTGTGTATAGAAGTCGAGTGTGGCTTTCCTCTTTGTAGATACAATCACTTTAAATGTTGCTGAAGCTCTGTCTGTCAACCTTCTGTAAATATTAAATTTCACCTTTTTCTGTGGATCAACAGGGAAAATCCCAGCTTCCTTATTCTCTCCATATCATAATGTTGGAAAATAGATACAGTGCAGAAGGAGACCATTCAGCCCATCATGTCTGCGGCAGTACTCTGCATCTAGTTGCCCCCACCAACCCCCACCCCTCACTTTTCTCTGCAGCCCTGCTGTTTTCTTCTCAGGTGATTTTTCAGTTCCCTTTTGGAAACCATCATTGGACCCGCCTCCTCCACCATCTTAGTCAGCGCATTGCAGATCCAAGCCTGTGTGAATAAGTTACCCTTCAAGTGACCTATGGCTTTGTCAATTTCTCCATAATAAGTATGGTGCTTCCTGGTATCATGTGCACCTTTTCCAAGGCTTTTTCTGAAGTATGATGCCTTGAATTGGTCAGAATGCACGAGTAGATGCCTAAATATGTTACTCATTAAGGTTTAGTGTAAATGTATTTGCTGTTCAATATACTCATCTCATGACTGCGACACCCCCAGCTGGCCTGTCTGACATGACATCATCAGAAACCCTGCCGACAGAACACAGCAAAACCTGTACACAGTCAAATGGAGAACAGACTTCCTGCTTGTGACCCTACTGTTAACCCAGCAACATCAAGCAAGCATTGTTCTTTGACAACTGCCTACTACTAGGTTTATTTTCACCTGCAGGAAGTCCAGAGGGATGGCAGTGGAACGTGGAAGCTGAATGTTAGGCTGTTGACCCTGGAAAATATTGAGGAACTCAAAATGGATTACAAAGGGTGGAGCATTGTGAAATCCCTCTTTGAGGTTCCCCTACACTGGTGAGAAGAAATCAGGGTGAACATGAAGAGGTTCTTTATCCTCAAAGGTGTTCAGAAGATGAGAGAGAGAGATAGATGGAAAAATCCCCACTTGGGAAAAGCTGCAGAATCTGCTCCTGCTGCAGATGATGTCTCAGAGACCTACAAGGTAATCTTCCAATACACGATGCACTCTGTAGAGCAGGATGTGACATGCTCCTGCATCTCCTTCCAGAAGGTGTGCAGGGACAGCTCTGTGATCAGTAACCTAAAGGATGTAAATGGTTCCATAACATCATCAGACTCTGACATTTTGATGATCAACCAAAACCTTTAGACCAGCCTGTATGATGTGAAGCCCACAGACAGCACAGCCTTCCATTAGTTCCTGTCCTCTTTCATGTAGGCCTTAGATAACAAGATATGGGAGTGCCTGGACAAGCCAGTAACTCTGGATGAACTGGTTAGGCCTACCAGTCTTCTGGGAAAATTAAAAACTCCTGGAAGTGACGGCTTATGACCAAGTTGTATTAAACCCAGTGTGTCTTGATCAGCCAGAGCCTGTTCAAAACCTTGAGGAAAGGCATCATTAGCCATATCTACAAGTAGAATAGTAAGAGGAAGGAAATTAAAAATTGGTGGCCAATGTCATGCTGAATGTGGACTTGTGATGTCAGGTATGTGATTTATATATGTTTTAACATCATATACTTGGTATTTGAACTAATATCATGTGAGTTTTCTGTGTGAATGAAGTGGTTAGTGATTAGCTTGCCAAATATTTCTGTAACCATGTGAATTATTTTAAAACATGGTATGAGAGAGAAAGCCCCTGGAGAGTAATGTGGTTTTGTTTACATTCCGAGAGTTTTATGAGTGAACAGAATAAACAGTAATGTGCATTAACTTCTGTCAGAAGATTCTGGGTTTTTTATGGCTGAGGGAAACATCACATCATGAACAATGCCTCTTTGGGTTAGGCAGTTTTCCAGAAGTCTCGGCTGAGATTAGACATGCATAACAGTCACTCCTAAAGTGAGATATTTTAGAACTGTTAAGAAATAGGTTCACTCAGAGCAAGGAGTTTACCCTTAAAGTTCTCAGCCAGAGTGTTTGAATAAGACCCTGAAGGCATTATTAGATGCTGAAAAAATCTAAACTCAGTTGTATGAAGATTCAAGAAAGAGGCAATCAGATTCTTAAGATGAGGATGTGAAATCACAGTTAACTTAAGCCACGTAAGATGTGGTAGAAAAGGGAGTATCTCTGGTTTTCATATGATAAGGAGTGCTTTTGGGATTAATGGGATTATATTTTACCATGTTTTGAAATTTTTAAGCTTGCTTATGAATAGTTTGGCTTATTCTATTTTATTTTCATTTATTTTGCATTGACAGCTGTGTAAGCTCAGGCTTTGAATTTGTTCAAGGTATTGATTGATAGATTGTGAATGACGTACTGGGTTATGAGGATGAGTTGGGTGAAAGGTGTTGAAGTGTTCCATCAGCTGTGATCATATGACCAGGGCAGGCTTGACTGCTGATGGCCTACTCCTGTTCCTATGTAATAAACTTTTATTTTATTGTTAAGGCTTGCCCAAACGGCTACACCCTTCTATTTATACTACTTGTTTTATAACTGATAAACAATTTATGAGGAAAAAATAGTAAAATCAAAAAAAGTTAGAAATGAATGCACTAGTTGTACTGGGATACAGTTCTGAAGTACAGAAAATAAGTCGGATCACTATGCATCATGCATAAGTTTTACTGGATTTTCCTTCTGGGAAATATTTTTATTGCTTCCAGCTTGTCCGGGAGATAAATCGTTATCTTTCCCAAGTCTCAGAAAGGTTGGAAACCTATTATTTATTTATAGCCTTCAGAATTAATTCTGTTTCAAAGCTCATGGAAAACGACCAGGACACTGAATGATCGTAAACAAGTTTTAAAAGCGGCCTTATTGTCGATTCTTGTTTTCTTTTAAAATAACCTTTACGTTTCTCGAGAAAGACGTTGCACACATATCTCAACCTTCGACCGAATTCAAAAGGTCAGAGTCCAGAGAGCCTGTTGCAAATGGAAACGCTGTCACTCGCTTCAATGACTTGGACCACGTTGGAGTAGTCACTCAGTGAGTGATGTGAGGCTTTGAACGGACATTCGGCCCCTCTCAGGGCCAGCAGCTGCCGGGAATTCTGTATCATTTCCACTTTGTTACATTGCCATTGTGACGTCACGGCAAGCGACCAGCCGCCGCAGTGCGCACGCGCCGTGGCCGATGCGGCAGTGAGAAGGTAACAAAAACAAAGCTATGGAGCTGGTGAAAGGGGAAGTTCGCCTCTGCCTCTTTTGTCTTTCCTTTCTTCCCAGTTTTCTCTGCTGGGAGGTTACTTTTCCCTTTCGGTCTGTATACTGTCAACTGTCAGATTCCTGTGATTGCGCCTTCCAGCCCAGAATTGACTGTGAGTAGTCTTTAAGACAACGGTTTTTAAGCACTTAGAAATATAGTCTCACCGAGTGACAGCTCTGACATTTACTTTGTAGAATGAAATGTGGGCTGTAAAAAGTATTTCTGTTCTTTGAGCTGTGGTACAATCATGATCGTCCCTTCATTTCATGCATTTTTTTTCATTTTACTTTTGCTAGCACTTCTTGCGAAGTGTTTTGAAAATCAGTTGTAAGGGAGACAAAATGAGAACTTTTAGCCCTTTGCCTGATAGATTCAAGAATTATCTTACCGCTCAAGAGCACCAATCCTATAAAGTAGCCAGTGGTAACAACATTTGAGAGTTTATTAGGAAACTGCTTTGCAGATTCGCGTTCCAAAGAGACGGAATCTTTTGACTTGATATGAGCTATATGGCCCTGAAGTGAACTTCACACCCTACGTCGTACTTAGCACAGTTGCTTATTCACCTTAGCAATGTTCACTGTTTCCACCAACACCTCAGCTGTGCTACTCTGAAAGCCTTGCTCTGTACTTGAGATAACAAGGTGTAGAGCTGGATGAACACAGCAGGCCAAGTAGCATCATAGGAGCAGGAAGGCTGACCCTTCATCAGGGCCTAGGCCTGAAACGTCAGCCTTCCTGCTCCTATGATGCTGCTCGGCCTGCTGTGTTCATCCAGCTGTACACCTTGTTATCTCAGATTCTCCAGCATCTGCAGTTACTACTATCTCTTGCTCTGTATTTTGTTACTTTTCAGGACCATTTCTGTAATGTTCTCCAAATTGGCTTCCCAACTGCCACCTCACCTGTCCACAGCTGAGCCAAATGTACCTCCAGCACAGAAAGAGGCTACTGAGCGTTCCATATCTGTTATGGCCTATCACAGAATTCAATCAAGTTTGTAAGAGGTGATATGCCTCCTTGATTTTAATACATGCCTTTCCAAATGAAAGTTTATTTTATCCCTGATAATGATTATCAATAACTTCCCCGTCATCAATGTTGGCCTTTTGTTTTCTGGCTTATCAGTCTACGTTTTTAATGGTACAACAATAGCAACTCACTTGTCCTCTGATACTGCTGCATCTGTATCAAATTGAATACTGTTTGGGTGACCATGTGTATCTACGTAAGAATGGTCTGTGATGTGAAGGGGAATGTAGGGTTGATAGTCTTACTGAGATATTCCTTGTGTTGCTTTTTTCAGTGTTAGTCATCAAGGGGTAGGAAGGTGCTCTTAAATTGGCCATGATGAGTTTCTGTAGTGTTTCCATGTCAGTGAACAGTGCCTGTCCTCACTTTCTGACAAAGAGATGGCATTGATAAATTGAACTGAGAATACTTCCTCAAGAAGCTTCTTAGATGGTACAACCGAGTGGCTTGCTAGAGATAACACAGTGTAGAGCTGGAAGAACACAGCAGGCCATGCAGCATCAGAGGGGCAGGAAAGTTGATGTTTCAGGTCGGGACCCTTCTTCAGATGCTGCCTGGCCTGCTGTGTTCCTCCAGCTCCACACTGTGTTATCTCTGACTCCAGCATCGGCAGGTCTTGTTATCTCTGAGTAAGTGGCTTACTAGGCCATTTCAGGGGGCAGTTAAGAGTCAACCACATTGCTGTGGGTCTGGAGTCCAGTGTAGGCTAGACCAGGTGAGGATGGCCGACATCTTTTCCTGAAGGACATTAGTGAAGCAGATGGGTTTTTCTGACAACCCTGATACCTGGGGGTCTGAGTAGTCTTGTGGTTATCTCTGATATGTCTGTGATGTACGTTAGTGTGACTAGTGTGTCTGGCCGTGTAATACCATACAAGGACTTTCAGAAACATTACAAAGGCCAAACTGGAAGAAAACTGACAATAACGTCTGACGAAAACGAACACCAACCAGCCACCAAGAGACACTGGCCTCAATACACACGGACTGGGACAACACATTTATAACGGCACAAGCCAAACAGAGACATGCCAGGGAATTCCTAGAGGCCTGGCATTCCAACCAGAACTCCATCAACAAGCACATTGAACTGGACCCGATATACAAACCACTGAAAAACAAAACCGGAAGTAATGCCAACCACTCCAGCAAACTGAGGAATATAAATAACAAGCGGGACAGAACACCAACGCTTCACCAGAGGTGCACTGACGATGTTACCTAGCAGGGTGACAAAACATCTGCAGTCAAACACAGCGAGCAAGTCTACAACCTCAAGTGGCAAGTAACATTCGTGCCAAACAAATGCCAGGCTATGACCATCACCAATAAGAGACAATCTAACCACTGCCTCTTGACATTCAATGATGTTACCATCACTGAATCCCCCGCTATCAACATTCTAGGGGTTACCATTGACCAGAAACTCAACTGGATCGACCACACGAACACGGTACTTACAAGACCAGGTCAGAGGTGAGGAATACTACGGCAAATATTTCATGTGCTTATTCCCCAAACCCTGCCCACCATCTACAAGGCACGAGTCAGGAACCTGATGGAATACTCCCCACTTGCCTGGATGAGTGCAGCTCCAACCACACTCAAGAAGCTTGACACCATCCAGGACAAAGCAGCCTGCTTGATTGGCACTGCATCCACAAGCATCCACTCCCTCCACCACCGATGCTCAGTTGCAGCAGTGTGTACTATCTACAAGATGCACTGCAGAAATTCACCAAAGATCCTCAAAAGCACCTTCCAAACCCACAACCACTTCCACCTAGAAGGACAAGGGCAACAGATATATGGGAACTCCTCCACCTTCATGTTCCCCTCCAAGCCACTCACCACCCTGACTTGGAAATATATTGCCATTCCTTCACGGTCGCTGGTTCAAAATCCCAGAATTCCCACCCTGACGGAATTATGGTTCAATGCACAGTAGATGTACTGCAGCGTTTCAAGAAGGCAGCTCACCATCACCTTCTCAAGGGCAACTAGGGACAGGGCAATAAATGCTGGTTCAGCCAATGAGGCCTCCATCATCCCATGAATATATTTAAAAAAAAAAGTTTGAGATGCCAAGTTTCATTTGCTGAATTTAAATTCCATCAGCAGCCATAATGTGATTTGAACCCATGTCTCCAGAGCATTAGTTCTGGTTTACTAGTCAGAGACATTACCACTAAGCCACCATTTCCCACTGGTGCTCAAGGAGTGAAAAATTTCCTGTTGCTGCTGATACACTGTGGAGCCTCACAGATGCTTTATTTCAGAGATTTGTAATTACTGTGTAATTTAGCAGGTAGTGTTGTGATGTACGGTTGGACTAACCTCACTGGGGCTGAGATTTTGCCATCAAAGACAGGGTGGTCACACTCATCCATGTTACTGATTTTGTTTTATTTAACAGGCAGGAGGGCAAGAATGAGGTCAAGTAAATTTCTTCCTCATGTTAGTTCTCTCACTACCTGGCATGACCCCAAGCTAGCAGGACTCAGCCTCAATCGATGGTGATAGTATTGATCCAGTCTTGGTGATAGGTGTTCTCTGTCCTTGCTTCTCTCTCTCAGCCTTTCTATGAAGGATGTTCAATATGAAGTTGCATTGGGAGAGTGGTAATCATCGACCAATGGAAATGATCAGAAACTGTTCTTGCCATGAGTGCCACGTCTTCCAGACCAACTTCTCCCCCACTATAGCTGACCAGTTTTTAAATGCTATTTGACTGTAGATGACCCCAGGAAAGGCCAATCCACCCTCAGTTGACAGTTACACCATATACTTTCAACTCCGAGGTGAGTGCCGTGGCCCGTCTCGGAGTCTGAAGCTTGCAGATTCAAGCATCGCTCCAGTAGACCTGACCTCTTCAAATATAGGCTGATAGTCTGGTGCAGTGCTGGAAGAGTGCTGCACTGTCAGAGGTGCTGCTTTTCAGATGAACCATTAAATCAATGCTCCGTCTACTGTCTCTGAAGTGAAAGATCCCACTTCTTTCTAAAGTGAAAGGAGTTCAGCAAAGTTATTCTTGCAGTCCTGGCCAATACTTATCCCTCAATGAGTATCACTAGAAACAAATTACCTGATCATTATCAAATGACTGTATTTCTGGGACCTTGCTGTGACGCTTTGGCTGCCCTGTTTCCCGCAATACAGCAGCGACTGCAAGTAGTCAATCAGCTGTAAAGTGCTTTAGAACATCGGGTCAGGAAAGGTACTATGTAAATTAAAGTCTGTCTTTCTTCAATTATTGCACAGTGATTCGGAACAAGTATGATTAGCCCTACCACCACTGACAATACACTAGCCCCACCTGCCCTTGCACTCTCACACTTACACTTTTACATTCTCCCCTACTCTCGCTCTCACACTTTCATTCTCATACTCCCAAATTTACACACCCTTGTGCCCTCCCTCTCACTCTCGCTCTCACACTTTCACTCTCTTGCTGTCCTTGCTTGCTGACACTTGCGCACACTCACACATTCTCACTCTTGCAGACACACACGTGCTTGCACACTGCTTCCTGAACTCACCGACAGCAAAGCTGTTTTCTGAGGAATTCTTCAGCACGGATCTGAATTCAGCCCAAGACATTTGTGTTTTGTGTACTTGGCTACTCACTAATGAGATAAACTTTCTGAACCATGTTTGAGGCTAATTCCCTTACTTTTAGTCATACTGCATCTGTAAATTGCAAACTGCATTAATTCTGAACCTGTGACTGTGCTTTTAGCAGATCTAATATCCTACAGACATTCTTCCTTGTGCCCTTTGTTCTAATTAAGCTTGTATTTCATGCTCTGTGCATGTAAATGTGCGTGTGCTGAGCTCTGCTTGACAGAACAAACACTAAGATGAAATCAGTAGCGTAACTGCGACATCTGCCCTAAAGCAGATATCACTTCGAGAACCCACAATACAATGCATCAATCTCACTCTGTACACAGCTCAAGCTCAATGTAATCCTGATCATTTTTATGTATGTAAAAATGGGGTGGCGTTGATAGGTTAAACTCACTTCAATATATTGAATGTTTACTACCAGCTTGTTGTAAGATGAATGAAGTGGGGGGTGGATTTAGCCCACTCATGACTCTGACAAGCAGAGCCAAAACTGTTTGGGGACCCCCGAGTTTGATCGCAAATTCCAAATCCGATATTCTCATCGGATTTTAAAAGAAAATTTAAACATTGATATTCTGAAGAAGGGTCTAGACCCAAAACATCAGCTTTCCTGCTCCTATGATGCTGCTTGGCCTGCTGTGTTCATCCAGCTCTACACCTTGTTATCTCAGATTCTCCAGCATCTGCAGTTCCTACTATCTCTTTAAACATTAATGATGACACTGAATGGAAAGAAAAAGGGCCATCGAACTAGTGACTGAATATTGCGTTTGAACTCTGTCTCCCCTTCCAGATCTGGAGCTGGACCTATGCCGCAATGTGTATGGACAGCATGTGGCCAAAGAAGTGATTGTCAGTGCCATAAAACAGTTCCTGCAGAAGCACAGCCCAGTGAAGCCCCTGGTCTTATCGTTTCACGGCTGGTCAGGGACTGGGAAAAGCTATGTTACTACATTGTTAATGAGAAACCTGTATCGGGATGGGATGAAAAGCTCTTATGTGCACCAGTTTGTACCCACCTTGCACTTTCCCCATGCCTGCCAGATCGACACGTACAAGGTAAGGGAGGGTGGGAGAGGGAGGGAGAAAAGAATGAATCTGTATTCAGCCAGTCATCTTTGCAATAAGAAAACGGCCAACTATTTAACTGTGTAGATTGTCAGATTTTGAGTCCTTTTTCCCCACTGAGTTGCACTGATTTAAAAACGAATGCACAGTGTGAAAGGTTTGACATTTCAAAAAAAAAGAAAGTTGGTCTGAGAGGGGAAAATCCAAGTGAATGTACACATGCATAAAGAAATAGGTAAGTTACAATGATGCCAGACTTCAACTAGGATAGTCTGTGATCAGGCTGCATCTGTTTAGAGCTTTGCTTTGGGCTCAGATTAATAATACTGTGTAAGTTGGAAGAAGAAGCATTCTGGACTCTAGTTTCTTCTATACTTTGTTTTTATTTCAGATTTCCAGCATCCACAGTGTTGTGCTTTTATGTTAAAGAGAACTTCTACCTATCTTGGCTCAACTGCTGAAACCCATGTCCATGATCATAGAATCCCTACAGTGTGGAAACAGGCCCTTCGGCCCAACAAGTCCACACCGACCCGTGGAGCATCCCACCCAGACCCATCCCCCTATAACCCACCTAAACTACACCTCCCTGAACACTATGGACAATTTAGCATGGCCGGTCCACCTAGCCTGCACATCTTTGGACTGTGGGAGGAAACCTGCACAGACACGGGGAGAATGTGCAAACTCCACACAGACAGTCGCCTGAGGGTGGAATCGAACCGGGTCCCTGCGCTGTGAGGCAGCAGTGCTAACCACTGAGTCACCATGCCGCCCCATGATGTAGTTATCTCAGGCAAGGGGAGAGGTTAAGTGGTAACCTCAGCTCTGTGTGGGAATTGAACCCATGCTGTTGGTATCACACTGCATCACAAACCAGCTGTCCAGCCAACTGAGCCGACCAACTCCCAACCAGAGGAGTATAAGGTCATGAGGGTATAAACAGAGTGATAGGAAGGCACTTATTCCACTAGTAGAGGGGTCAGTAACTGGGGTTGTGGATTTAAGGTAAGAGATAGAAGGCTAATGGAGAGTTGAGGAGAAATGTTTTCAACCAGAGGGTGATGGGAGCCTGGAACTCATTGCTAGGAAGGGTGGTTTGAGTCATAAAGTATTGAAAAAGTTAAGCAATATTTAGATTTTCATTTACATTGTTATAGTTTCCAGGGCTACAGGCCAAAAGGTGGAAAATATAATTTGTGTAGTCAGATACTTATTGACTATCAAGGGCATGATGGAATGAATAGTAAATACTGACTAAATGCTGCAAATGTCTGCATCTATATCTGTGCTGCTTCAGTTCTGACCTCGTGAACATCCCTGATTTTAATCACTGTACTATTAGCTACTGTGATTTCAGCTACTTAGCTCTGGAATTCCGTCTGCACCTTGCACTTTTAGGACACTCATTAAAATTATTGACCAAACTTTTGAAGAGTTTAGGCAGTGAATTCCAGGGCTTTGGACCTAAATAACTGGATGCACAATGGCCAACAGGAGAGTGATTCAAATGGATGATGAACAGGGAGACTAGGTGAGAATTAGGATTAAGAATGTTGATGTGTGTCACCTTGCCTTTGTGAAGTTCAGTAATTAAATTGCTGAGTTGACAGTCAACCCTTTCTTGACATTATTAGAGTTCCCTGTTGCCATTGCAATCTAACCGGAAAGTTTGGTCTGATGCCACTTGTGCACTTTCTAATGTTGTTCTTGCCTTTTCAGGAGCAGCTGCAAAGCTGGATCAGTGGTAACCTGAGTGACTGCAGCAGATCTGTCTTTATTTTTGATGAAATGGACAAAATGCACCCAGGTTTGATTGATGCAATCAAGCCCTTCCTCGGCAATTCACACGTTATGTACGGAACAAATTATCGGAAGGCGATATTTATTTTTGTAAGGTAAGTGACGAGAAGTGACTATCACCGCTCTTAATACTGTAAGACACACCAGACAAGGTACTAGTTAAAGTTAGACTTGCAATCTGGAAGTAGAGTTTAAGCTTCCACACCTGTGCTGTTGCTCTTTGCAAGGTGTTGCTTCTCTGCTGACTGTTACTGAATGCTGATTGGAGGGGAGAGTCTGTACCTTGAAACATTAATGAAGGAATTGTTCATCTTCCTCAATCAGTAGATCAAAATGATCGGAGGCTACGTACGTAAAATCTGTGGGTTAAGAAATCCTTTCCCAGACAAGTGACAAGTTAGGTTTAATTCCAAGATGCCCATTTGACACACAGTTATCAGTTTGAAAGAGACTGGACGGAGCTCCCTTCCCAGGCATCTAAATACTGGTCTTCAAATACGTTGTCTTATGTTAATAAAAATTGGTGGTACATTTAAAGCTTTAGTCAGCAGAGTTCAAGTCAGTTGTGATTTCAGCTGTGAACGCAATGTCATTTGGAAACAAAAAGACCACTTGATTACACCCAAGTCCAGGAGATTTCCTCTGGAGTGTCTTGACTGAGTTTAGACACAGAAACAGGGGAGGCAGTGCATTACTAACCCAGAAGCCTAGGCTGATACACAGGGACACTGGTTTAAATCTCAACATGGCAGCAGCTAAAGTTTACATTTAATACATAACTCAAAACATTAATGGTGACTGTAAAACTACCCCTGATTGTCATAACTCATTTAGCTTGCACCTGCCATTTGGGGACATCCCTACTTGGCCTGAACTACATGTTATGTCAGAGCCACAGCTATGTGGTTGAGTCTGAAATGATGTGCTGAACCACTCAGTTCAAGGGCAGTTAAGAATGAGTGACCAAAGTTGCCCTAGCCAGCTGCCTTATAAGTACACATGCATGTTCACATACACACATTCTGTCTCTCTGTTTCTCTCTCTTTCTCATTATCTGTCCCTTGCTCTCATTCTCTCCCCTCTCTCCCTGGCTCTCATTCTTGCTCTCTTCCTCATTCTCATTCTCTCTCCTTTGCTATCATTCTCTCAAGCCCCCCCACCAACTCATTAGTTTCTCTCCATCATTCTGTCTCTCTCTCTCTCTCTGTCTCTCTTCCCCTCCCTCCCTCCCTCACTCTCATTCTCTCCATCTCTCTTTCATTTTCTGTCTCTCTCATTCTTGTTTTCTCTTTCTCTCTCATCCTCATTCTCTCTCTCTCTGTCTCTCTCCCCCCCCCACACTCATTCTTTTTCTCTCTCTCTCTCTCTCTCTCTGTCTCAACCCTCTCACTCTTATTCTCTCTTCCTCTCTCCCTTGCTCTAACTCTCTCTTGTTCTTGTTTTTGCTCTCTCCTTTGCTCTCTCATGCACTCTTTGAGGGACTTCAAAGAATTACAGCAAGTATTAATGATTACTATAGTTTCCTTTTCACACTGAAAAGCATTTGGAACTGCAGTATAAAATGAAGATTTTGAATAGTCCTTTCAAGATTAAAGATGAGGGGTGATCCTGATTGCAGAGGGCTGAAGGTTTTGAGGGCAGAGGATATTTTATCTGTTGTAATTGTCTTTAGCATTATATTTATTTGGTCAGAATATTTGCTTCTGTCCTTGGGCTCCAGTCTCTTTACTACATTAGATCATGCAACAGCAACAACAACTTGTAGTTATATACCGCAGTGCCTTTAACTGAATAAACCAAAGTACTAAACAGTAAAGTACTATAAAACAAAATTTAGGATCAATCCCTCTCAACTTGCTATATACCTTTAAAAGCAGCAATAAGGTTCATTGTGATACATCATGTCATAAGAGAATTTTATTTTTATTCAAATATTATCTGTATTGCCGCCTGTACATTTATTTTAAGTTAACAAATCTGTAATAGATATGGATTTTTATTAATTACACAATGTCACCAGAATCTAATCTTGTACTAATATTACCAATCTCAGTGTATTGTCTTATAATCCTCAATTGTTGGTCATTGTGTAAGTTGATTAGAGCAACAATCTTCTAGATGAATAGCAAAGTGATTTTAAAATCTTTAGAAACACAATAAAGGTTGTCAAACATCTGCCTGTTGAATCATAAATAAACTCTTATGACGGATATATAAATGTAGCATCTGAAGAAAGTGTAACTTGACAATTAACTAGCACCAGTGAATAACAAACTGCTGACTAGCTTTACCATAAATAGCTGATCGCTGTGTAGTGTGTAACTGTTGACGGCAAAGTTCACTTATTTCGCTATCTCGTATGTTCATGATTGTGTCTCATAACCAGCAATGCTGGAGGCAAGCAGATAAACAGGGTGGCACTAGACTTCTGGAAGAATCAAAAGGACAGGGAGGAAATTCGACTGGAAGACTTGGAGTCCAAAATATCCAACGAGGTTTTCAATAACAAACTCAGTAAGTCATCACCCTTTTTGTAAGAAGGGCATTCTAATATGTGACAGTATTGATGCATCTTTTTCTTTCAGTGGTGTATATCGTCACTGAACTCAGTCATTCTAGATCTAGCTCTACCAATGTGTTCAGACGTTGTTGTTATAATATTTATGTTGTTGCAGGAAAACCAACGAGAAGCGAGGTTGCTGTGCGTTCATTATGCTTTGATAATATGCATTTTGTTTCTGGTCACGGAACATTACCTTTGTTTGTTTCCAGCAGTCAGACGGTTCAAGTTCTGAGACCCCTCTCTAAATTTCCATGCTGTCCAGCTGCACCATCATTTAAAATCATCTAATCTACTCAAGGGAAAGAAAAGCTTCTGTCTGCTTTGTGTTTTACACAGCACATGACTGTTTTCAATTGAAAAATTTAACGTATCATGGTTTTCGTTGTGGGATTGCCCTTCATATTAATTGTACAAAGGGGCCCAGAAAGACAGGTCATTGTTAGGGAGAAACACAGTTACAAGTTATGTCTATGTAGAGGACATGTGCTTCATACTGGAAGTGTTTTTTCAATAAAATAGAGATATGTTCATATTTGTACAAAAATATGTTATAACAATGTGATAACCAGCACTTTTGTGAAAGAAAATCTTTTATTTCCTATTATTTTTCAAACTTGCGTTTAGGATCTGCAGGTTCAATGTAGGTTCAAGTGAGAAATTCACACTGATAGCTCAACAGCTCTTAGTGCCTTTCAGCACTGCGTTACGCCAGGATGTACACGTAATAGAACTGGTGCAGGCACGAAGGGCCGATTGGCAACCTACTGTGCTGTAACAATTCTGTGATTCTGCAAGTAGCCAAGAGGAAATGGGAGATTTTATATTATTATGCTGGGTGTGACCATGGAATCCAGAGGTTATTGTATCTTGGCTTTTAATAAAGCAATGAATCCCCTCCTGATTAGGGTGAAAAGTTTGTACTTACTCCTTAACGTCATAAAGAGACCTAGGCAGACTCATCACCTTCATCAGCTTTTGGAAATAACTGTTGGATGAATGTTGTTCGTATGGTAAAGTGTGATTAAGATGTCTTTTTAAAAACAAACACCAATAGGAATTTCTGGAGAAACTCAGCAGGTTTGACGGCTCAAGAACTCTGATTTAGAGGGATTTGTAAAAGAAGCAGCGTTGACTTGACATTTTTTTATGCAGCCGTTTGTGGTAATTGGCAATGCTGTACAAGCCAATGCAAAGACCATCTTCCAAATTGAATTGGAAGGGAAAGAAAACAGCAGGCTCTGAGAGTAGGCAGTAGTGTGGGGTAGGAATAACACCACTAGATTAGTAATCCACAGAAACAGGCTAATGCTCTGGGGAATGCATTTGTCTGCTACCGTGAATTCAATTAATAAACCGGGAATTAAAAGCTGGTCTAATGGCGACCAGCAAATCACTGATAAACAAAAATCCTGGTTTACTGATGTCCTATACAGAAGGAGTGTGTCATACTTACCTGATCATGTGATCACTGTTTCACATGACTCCAGATCCATAGCAATGTGGCAGACTCAGAAACGACCAAGCAAATCCCTCAGGACCTTGTCTGCGATGCCCACATCCCAAGAAAAAACAAGAAAGAAGAGCAGGGTAGTGAGAACACAGAGAGCTCTGTCAGGGAGCTGACAATGGCCTCTTCCTGTGCTGCACTATTCCATGCACTGTCAACACCCTGTTCCTTCTTGGACATACTGCTCATGGGAACTATTGTTACCACTGGGCAACACACTTAAACATTCATTTAAAGCCCCAAAGGTTTTACTCCTGTAAGCTCCTGGTTTGTTAGGTACAAACATATGATTTAGGAGCAGAAGGAGGCCATTCTGCCCTGTAAGGTTACTCTGTCATTCAGTAAGATTACAGCAGATCTGTTTGTTTCAAACTCTACATTCCCTTTTACACCCAATAACCTTTCACTCCTTTGGCATTAAAGATATTCAGAGACCTCGCCGCCTCCACCTTCTGAGGTAAAGTTCCAAAGTCTCTCCACCCTCTGAGAGAAAACAAATTCTCTCTGTCTCTGCTGTGAAAGGGTGTGGCCAATTTTAAAGTAATCACTCCCCAACTAGGGAAACCTGCACTTCAGTGACCATCTTGTCAAACCTATTCAGCATCTTATGTACGTTGCCAAAGTCACCCTTCACTCTTCTATATTTCAGTGCAAACAAACCCACTCCATGCAACCTTTCCTCATAAGACAACATAATTGTTCCAGGTATTCGTCTAGTGTTGGAAGACACTCAGCAGGCCTGGCAGCATCTCTGAAGAGAGAAATTGAGCTAACATTTCAAGTCCACTATGAGTTCTGCAGAATATTTTGGAGTTAACTCAACGTTAACTCAGCTTCTGTCTCCAGAGATGTTGACATAGAGTCAGAGTCATACAGCATGGAAATAGACCCTTCGGTCCAACTCGTCTATGCCAACAAAGTTTCCCAAAATAGTCTCATTTGCCTGCATTTGGCCCGTATCCCTCTAAAACCTTTCCTATTCGTGTACCTGTCCAAATGTCTTTTAAATGTTGTAACTGTACCTGCAACTACTGCTTCCTCTAGCAGTTCATTTCACACACAAACCATCCTCTGTGTGAAACGACCTGCTGAGTTTCTCCAGCACTTTCTCTTTTTATTTCTGATCTCCAGTATCTGCAGTACTTTGCTTTTATTTCAATGATCAATCTAGTAAACCTCCTCTGAACCACCTCCAATGAATTTACATCTTTCCTTCAACAAGGACATCAAAGCAGCATGCAGTATTCAAGATGTGATCTCACCAATCCCCTACATAACTGAAGCGTAACATTCTTCTTTTTATGTTCAGCTTCTCTTGTAATAAAGGACAGAATTCTGTTAGTTCTCTTAATTGATTGCTGTACTTGCAAAATGAATTTCTGATTCATGCACTAGAACACCCTCTGAACCTGGGAATGCTGCAGTTGTTATCCATTTTGCTAATACTCAGCTTCTTTATTCTTTCTGCCAAAGTAAACAACGTTAGATTTTCCCACACATCATATACCATCTGCCAGATTTTCGCCCACTCACTATCTGTATCTGTCTGCAACCTCCTTATGTCCTTCTCACAAATACTTTGCTACCTATCTCTGCGTTGTCTGCAAATTTAGCCAGTAAAACCTTCATTCTCATTATCTCAGTTGTTGATTATAAATTGTAAAAAGTTAAGGCTGCAGGACAGACCCTGTGGAACCCCACTCACTGCATCTTGCCAATCAGAAGAAGACCCATTTATGCATATACACTATTTTCTATCCATGCTCGTATATTATCTGCCAAACCATGTACTTCTACTTTGCACGGTAACCTTTTGTGTGGCAACTTAACAAATGCCTTTTGGAAATCCATGTTCATCAATGGGTTCCCCCTTATCCACAGTGCATGGTACTCCTTCAAAAAGCTCCAGTAAACTGGTTAAACATAATTTCCTTTTCATTAAACTATGTTGACATTTCCCGGTTATCTTGACTTTTTTATTTTCCAACTAATATCTTCCTTAATGATCATTTGCAATACTTTCCCATGACAGATGTCGAGCTAATTGGCCATAGCTTCCTGTTTTCTGCCTCCCTCCCTTCTTGAATAGAGGCATTATGTCTACTACTTTCTAAAATCTAGTGAATTTTGGAAAATTAACATGAACGCATCTACTACTTCGTTAGCCACCTCTTTTAAGACCCTACGATGAAGTCCATCATGACTTGGACTTGTAAGCTCACAGCTCCAACAGTTCACTCTCAGTGCCACTGCCCTGGTTATTGTAATTTCATCAAATTCCTCTTCTTCTTTCACTTCCTGACTTATAACTATTACTGGGATGATTTTCTATTGTATCTTCTATAGTGAAGATAGAAGCAAAGTATTTGTTAATATTGTCTGGCATTTATCTGCTATTAATTCCCCATGCTCACTCTCTCGATCACCAATGTTTCCTTTATTTACTCTTCCTTTTTAGATAGCTCTCCCTGTGTAGATAGGTTGCTTTGTTAGTTTGTTGGAGAGATCCTAAAATTGGCCTCATGTGATTTATTTTTGTGTGACTTTGCAAGTTGTGTTTGCTCCATTGTAATTTGTATTCCTGTGCTTTGTTTGCAGGTGGGTTCTGGAATTCCACGATCATAAATGAACAACTTGTCGATCATTTTGTACCGTTTCTACCTTTGAAACTCAAGCACATCAAGGAATGTGTGAGAAGTGAGATGGTCTCCAGAGGCATCAAACCTTCAGATGAAATAGTTGCAGAAGTTGCCAAGTCCATGAACTTTATCCCAGAGAGTGAGAAACTGTTTTCTCAAACAGGCTGCAAGACAGTGTCTGCCAAATTGGACTTCTTCTTGTAACTTCAAGAGGATATTGTACAAGTGTTTGTGTCAGAAAGTATAATTGTATATCACCGGTTACTGTTGTCTCTTGGGAGAGAATTTTGAAGATCTGATTGTTGTTGCTAACTTATTTAATTTGATGATATCCAGTTAGCCTTCAGAATAATGTCCTGTTTTAGGGATAAATTATTGGGCCAGAAGAAGAAGAAAAGTCTTTTACTGGACCTTTTTCTTTTAAGAAAATTATTTAATAAATCCAAATGTATAATTGCTTCAGTAAAGAATTGAGAATCAGATTATTCCTGGTCCAAGAGTGGATGCTGAATGCAGAGCCCAACTCGATCAGTTAACAAATTCTTCAGAGGGACAGAGCAGTTGATTTACAATGCCAGTTTACAGGAGTGGTGAGAGGACAGTTGTTTGATTTGGCATGCTAAAAATCAGAATCTTTTTGCCAATCATTGACACTGACTATATAAAAATCTATGACCTGCAAACATACCTTTATAAAAAATACATAGTGAGCTCATATCGTATTGCACAGGTCTGCCAGTTTAAGAAAAATTGAGCACTCTGCACCACATGTAAACTTAATATTCAGTCTAAGTTCTTTATGATAACCCTTGATTTTTGCACACGAATTCTGAAAGTGGATCCTGAATGGAGGAGATTCTGTTCTAAAACTATTAAATAGAGAAAAGGGAATTCTTGGTTGTGGTTACAGGCAGAGTGTTCATTCAGAGCTGGCCAATAACTTGGAAAATACCACACAGGTCATGCAAAGGTTGGCTCCTTTAAGTTGCCATATATACCCAATCAGGTTTTTACAACCAAGGACCCTTGCAATTTAAACAAATTGGTTGTGCACTGCAAAAGAAAAAAGAAATTATTACAGGAGAGTAAGGTTTGTAATCACCTGGGTGGATTTTAACCACTGTTTAAATAATTGTGATGGGGTTATTATCTGGAAATCATCCCAACTGTAACATTTTTCATCAAATAATACTGCCCTTATTAGTCAGTTATTGCCTGTGACCAGTGCTGGGTGTGGGGACAAGAATTGATCAAGGTACGATGCGTAATGGCCTCCACTATTTAAAAACAGGATGAAATTGCTGAAATAAATAGCTGCAATTTCCAGCTTCTGTGTGGCAAAGCCTCACAAGAGGATTTGTACACTGGGCAGGAATTAGGAAAGTGGTTGAAGGGCTAGGTTTTGAGGCTATTTAAGGGTAGGAAGAGATGGAGCACAATGTACCCATTTTGGGTAATTCAGGAATAACTTGGCTAGTGGTTTATTTTCCCCAATATTTGACCTGCTAACATAGGGAATTGTGGCAACACAAAAACAAAACAGTGCAGGCATTGGAAAATGCTGAAATTGTTCAGCAGGTCTGGCAGCATCAGCGGAGAGAGACAGTTAACAATTCAAGTTGATGATTTTAACTCACTTCCTCTTCATAGATGCTGCCTGACCTGCTGAGCACTTCCTGCATTTTCTGTTTTCCTTTGGGAAGTTATAGCTGTGAATTTGAACCTGCCCACTGTATGGCTGAAAATCCCTGGAGTACCTGGGATGTAAATCCATCTTAACATAAATATCCTGAGGATTTTCCACAAAAAAAAAAACCCCTAGATGTTTGTTCTTGGCCAAGTTTGCTTTTACACTCGGAGACATTTAAAAAAGCCAACCTTGTCACACAGTATTGGACTTCTGCCAATCGGATTAAATGATGTAACTTATTTCAAAACCAGCAGAGACCTACAAAATACTTGTCATGAAATTAGTATTTTTTAAATTTTATCAGCATTTCTTCAAACCCCATCTTAATACCATTCTATCCTTCCCATGTCAAACACATCCCATTCCATCCCTTACACTGAGACATTTTGCTTTGAAAATGCTTCAGAATACTACTTGCTTGCACTGCTGTGACATTTTTCATCCAATTGCTGTTTTTGGTTTCTTATTCAAGTGAATCTGTTGCCTCACTCTATGGAGCAGGCCATAAGGAACTACCTCTTTCTTAAACCAAGTCGGGCTGAATGATCATTAAATTGTGAAGGAGACTGATGGTCTTCTTTTGTGCTTTGACTGGAGGAAGCAAGTTATTTAGTAAACACACGTAAATATTTCAAAGCTTGAGCTCATGATTGGCATTTTAGAATCTTCCAACTTTCAAATTTAAATTTGTTTTTACATTAAATTGTTTTGTGTTAGACAGCACTGAGCTATATTGTATTGTCTGTTTACTGATTTTCAAGACACTTTTTCCAAATACTTTAATGTTTAAAATTATTTTGTTATTTCAACTGTGGATCTGTATCAAAGGGAGAAATTCTTAAAACAGTATTTTCTGTAATTTTTTAATATTAAATAAGTGAGTTGCAAATTGTAAAAATACTGAAATTTTATTATAATGTCTAAGTGGCAATATCTGTCTTTTTTAAAAGAAGATTATGGAATACATTTGCATAGTTCTTTACCTCTCTTTGATATTACAACAAGAATCTGGATTGGCACATTTAGAATCACCAATTCACAGGTATGAGAGGGATAAAATATGTTGGCAGCATAAATTGTTGACTTAGTTCAGTGTGTTGACACAGTTAGGAATTCTCTGCAGCTTTAACAATATTTTGGATTGGAAAGGAGAAAGAAGTAGGACCCAAAATAAGTATAAATTATAAAAGAGGTGTGTGGGAAATGAGCTGGCGTTTAGGGATTTGGATTTTTTTATTTTACCAAGAGGAATACAGTGAAATCTATTGAGCCTAGAACTTCACATTTTAAAATTGATTAATTTGATTTTAATTTAATTTAATTTATCACTGTCACATATACCAAGGTACAGTGAAAAGGGTTGCCTGACTTGCTTTACAGGCAGATCGTATTGTACGAGAACACCAGGGTAACAGAACAGAGTGCAGGAAACAATGTTCCAGCTGCTGAGAAGTTGCAGACAGAGGTCAACATTAATATTTAAGAGGTCTACTCAAAAGTTTGATAACGGCAGGGAAGAAGCTGTTCTTCATTCTGTTCGTATGTGTATACAAACTTGTATATCTTCTGCCCAATGGAAGAGAGTATGACCGGGGAAGCAGAGGTCTTTGATTACATTGGTTGCTTTCCCTAAGCAGTGTGAAGTGTAGACTGAGTTAATGGATGGGAGACTGGCCATCACTCCAATCCAACCATGTTTAAACAGCCTCAAAGCTGTTGGGCAATTGCAAAGGCTGAGGCTCTTGCACTTCTGTACCTTCGCTCCCTTTGCCAGCCTAAGCTGTAGTGATACTACCCTGTCTCTGACCACTGAATCATCAGAGGAATACACTATGCTGAAGGGGGTGGTTGTAAGCTAGAACTAAACTTCCTCGCAACTTTACCCTTTCTTGATGTATTGCATTGTTTGTAGCTCTGGCCTCCAGTTCAATCACGCTAAGTCAAACTTCTCAAGCCACAAACATTAGAGACATGTTTGCCCTAGGTCACACTGGCATCCAGGAGCTCCCACATGCTACAGGCATGACACATCTCCTATCCTACTTCATTATTTTATTTAATTATTTATTTTCCTTTTTGATGTATTTTATCAACTTTACCACCAGTTCCTATACTTTGGAGTTAGTCCCCTCTTGCCATAGTTTCCTTATTGATCCAATTCCCAGCACTCTGTTCAAAGTTGCATTCAGTGTTAAGTTGCACTGAGATGTCTCTGTTTATAGGATTTGAGTTAACTGGGCCTGTGATACAGAAATAAATCAGTTTAAGCAGGTTTCTTTTCCTTCCCTTCAGTTCCTCTCAAGTTAGAGAGCTTGTAAATCCTGCTTAAAGCCTGGATGAAATTTTGAATTTAAACAATAAATTACAGCTAAATGTTGACTATGAAAGTCAAACAAGACCTTTTAGAAACTCCCCCAACATCTATCTTTCTGCTCCAAATTGCACTCCCTTAATAAATTTCAGGCCCCACATCAATGGCAGATTTTGGGAAAAATGATTTCATCTCTGAAAGTATGAAGATGGCTGTGTTTTGGACATGTCTCAACTGTATAATCTGTGCTGTGAATGTACTATGTATGTTTTGTTAGAAGTCTAACAGATCTTTCTTTCCCCTTCAATTACCAGAGGAAGATTTGTCATGAGAACATCCTACATTATGGTGGTGCATCTTGTCACATTGAGCTTTGTATTTTTTGATAATGTGGGTGGTAGGCTAGGAAGATTTCTTTAAACCCTTAAACTGAAGAAAGACAGTTTTGAAAGTTAAATAATTTGCATTTATATAGCACTTTTAATATGAGCAAAAAAAATGGCGATACACATCTCACATTCCACACCAGTCTGGCAGTGGAGATGCATGTAAACCGGTCTTGTTTTCATGCATTTATATATGCTGATGAGTTGCCTTTGACTGAGTTAACAAATGCTGCTAGGTAAATATTATTCAACTCTACTAGTGGTTTTCTGTCATAAAAATCAACTATAAAGCATTTCGTTACCAGTTCTAGTACTGTGCACACTATAATTCAGTACAATCATACTTGAGGTTTAAATATCTATTTAACTGCAGTGTATTTGCAAACATTAGCATTGTAGTTTTATTAGATAAATCGGTTGAATTGACTGAAGAAGCGTTGAAGGGTTACTTGAATTGCTTAGTTGGTGTCTGTAGATCTCTTCCACATGCACGGCTTGTTGGGTGATGCAGCTTCTGAACTTTGGTTGGGGTTAGCTAGCGGTTTTAAAATCATACTAATGTTTGGTCTGTCAATCAGTAGGGGCTTCCTGTAATGAAGAGAGTCTCTGATTTCTTGAGTGAGCTGCATCAAAACAGAAAATCTATCATCTGTTAGGCGTAGTTACAGACCACAGGCACTGTACGTTAAACAAACTGTAGTACTACACACCCACTTCCCATTCACTGAAAAGGAGAGGTAAAGCAGTCCTGTTTTCCAGGAATCAGCTGGCACTGGATGGGCTTTTAAGCCAGTGTGAATTGATTGTACCCCATACTGGTTTCAGTAGAGGTGCTCCTTTGAACTCCGTTGAATGGGAAGGGAAGAGTGGGGAGAGATGTTTCTGAAGCAAGCCCAGTGTGAAGCAGGCCCAATCCAGATTTGGTGTAGGTAAACACGGATTGTAGAAGTCAGTGTTCATCCTGTTCTGACATCCCTACACTTTTCAGACGGGCTTCATGTTCTCCCTTCTACCCTCAATGTAATCCTACATCTCTTGAACTGTCCTGAGAGTCAGTTGGCTGGCTAGCTGGTTGATTTGTAATGCAACGTGACACCATTAGTGTGGGTTCAATTCCCACACCAGCTGGTGTTACTGTGAAGGTCCCATCTCCCCCCTCACCTGAGGTGTGGTGACCCTCAGGTTATACTCACCACCAGTTGTCTCTCTCTGAGAGAGCAGCCCTATGGTCTTCTGGGACAATGGCAACTTTACCTTTGCTGTAGGATATGCCTTAAGTATCCTCTCCAAAGCCTTCCTGCTGTTTTTGAAGAGTAGTGCTCAGACTTGTCCAAAATACTACAGCTGTTGGACGCTTAAATTGTTCCTTCTCAAAGTCAAGAAGGCAAGTGTGAGCAGTCAAATGTGTTGGGGTTACGGCATTTTTTAGGTATTAGCACCTATTGCACGGTTAATGAGGTCTTCTCAGAGACTGACAGTTCAAACTGCACTTACCATTTTCTTTCTCGCTACAATTTCTTTATACAAATCTGCTTCTTTTATACATGGTGCAAAATCGCATTCTGCCTTCTGCACAGCTTTGTTTCTGTCTACATTTTCACGGGCTTGATTTGTTGTGAGGATCCCTCTGCAATATTAACAAAGCACCAAAACTCGAATTAATTTACTTCCACATCCCTGAGTAAAGAAACAAGCTCAACATGATTTGAACAATACCCTGCCAGAACTTGTTATTCCAATCTTTTGCTTGTCAGACCATAAGGCCATAAGAAACAGGAACAGGAATAGGCCCATTTGGTCCCTGGACCCTGCTCCACCATGGCTGATCCAACATTCCTCACAACCACTTTCCTGTCCTTTCCCCACAACCCTTGATTCCCCTATTACCAAGAATCTATCTATCTCAGCCTTAAATATACACAAGGACTTTGCCCCCACAGCTCTCTGTGGCAAGGAGTTCCAAAGACTCACAACCTCCAACAGAAAAAATTCCACCTCATCGCCACTGTTACTGTATGTGGGCATCTGGAATTCACGAGTGATGGGAAAAACAGGTTTAAAAAATGTTTTTAATTTGTGTTGATTCTGATTGAGAAAGGCTGCATGAAAATGGTCTTTGAGATATACCGTTTTTATGGGGTAAAGACCAATACGTATTAAAACTGAAAAGGGATCTCAATGTGCATTTTAGGACACAATTAAGGAGATAACAATGAGTTCATTTATTTGTTTATGCTGGTGATATTGAGAGACGAACATTGGCTGGGACACCTCAAGCACTCTTGTTCAAACGTCACAAGGCCTGTTCTCATCAACCCAAACAGGCCTCAGTTTAAAGGCCCATCTCAGAAGGCTGCAACTACTGACACAAGACACATTTTAAGATTGATAAGGAGCTAGCAAACACAAAAATTAAAAGAATTCAATGAAAGAATATATTGCTATATGTAAAAAAGTGTCAAGCCAAGTAGATGTTTTTAATTTTTTTTAAAAATCGGTTTTACCGCGCATGTGCAGAACGAGAAAACCCAGGGGCGAGCATGTGCAGTCAGCAATTATTGGTGGATTGTTGGTGCCAGGGAACAGATTTGATCTCAGAAACAGAATCCCTGACAATGCAGCATTCCCTCAGTGCTGCACTGAGTTATATGTCTAAAATATGGGTTTCCACGACACTTCAACTCATAACAGCTGGGCAACACTGACCAACATTTTGAGGAAATTTTACTGAGTTGCCTGGGTGGGGGGGAGGATTAAAAATGTTGCAATAACCCTGAGAGAGAATGAAATGCAGACCACTTTGTTGACCTGCATCGCTGTTACTAATTATTAATGGCACCCTGTTCTTTATGAATAACTATTTCTGCTCCTTTGCGTAGTTGAAGTTGAACTTTGCTATTGGGTGCTCATATCGGCATCTGGACAAAAGAAAAAGCCTCTAGCTTGGTGGAGAGGTTGAGGTTGGCCAAATAAATAGGACACAACCATATGATTTGAATCAAGAAGTCAAAGTATAGAAGCTTGCTGATGAATAATCCCTTCAGCAATGTGGTAGTGTACCATTTAGATGGAATAACAACTTTTTAGAGCAGGTGGGACTTGAACATGGGCTTCCTGGTTCAGAGGCAGGGGCACTACTCCTGCACCACAAGAGCCCCAGCGACAAAGTTTTATTTCCTTTAAGTAAGGAGAAAACAGCTGGTGGCCTTGTGAAAACTTAGTTTTGTAGTATGCTGGTGAAAATATTAAGGTGCCCAAAAGCTGCCATTGGTTAACCAGAGTCAGGCACTGGAAACAGATGAGTACAGGCTGTACAAAATATTGAAACAGCAATAAAGTTAACAAGTGCAGAGGGTAATATATCCTGTGGCAAGCAGTTTCAAACTTTAGCTGTTGAAAATTACACCGAAAACATTGTGGGAGGGCTCTCAGCTATGCGGCATAGGACTGCATCTGGAAGCTTATATTTATCTCAGGTTTGATCTTCAAGCAACGTTAAACCTGCATTTGGCTGCGCCTTGTTTTGATGTAAAACTAGCTGACTAGTGTAGTGGGAGACAGACTTTATTACTTTAGAGAGGCTAACTCTAATAAACCAGCAACTTATTAATTTAGTCACGTCCATCAAACTGGCTCTGAAACATGGATACAACACAAGATTGTCCACAAAGGAGCAATGTCAAAGCTCTGAGGGATCCAACTGAATGAGACAGATTTCAACTTTCAAACTTCAATGAAGAACAGAAAGGAAGTCTCTACAGCACTTGGGATGTCCTTAAGTTCAATATCATTAATGCCTGAAAGGAGACACTTGGGCTTTCTGTCAGGAAACATCAGGGCTTGTTTGATGAAAACACAGGATATCAATGGACTAATGGCACGAACTGCAGGTGCTGGAGTCAGAGACAACACAATGTGGAGCTGGAGTAATGTAGCAGGCCAGGCAGCATCAGAGGAGAAGAAAAGTTGATGTTTCGGGTCGGGACCTTCTTCAGAATATCTTCCTTTTCTAAAGAAGGGTCCTGACCCGAAACGTCAGTTTTCCTGTTCCTTTGACGCTGCCTGACCTGCTGCATTCCTCCAGCTCCACACTGTGTTATCAATGGACTGATTGTTGGCAAATGCAAGTCTTTCTGTGCCGGGCAGAATCCAAATGATTCAACTGGAATCAATTACATTTGATGTTGTTCCCATCACATGGCCTAACTGAAGAAAATACACAATGATAGTCAGGTATTATCTGGAAAAACCTTAACTGAGAAACCCGGACCTGGGCTCATTTTGCAGATGGGCTTGAAAAACATAAAGGAGAAGCTAAGGTAAACCAGGAAGTGACAAAGTGACACCCAGCTTGTATTTCAAAGCCCTAAAGATTGTCAGGTTATTAGCAGATTGAGACAGGTGAGGAGTTTCAGAGCTTTGGGAAATATAGCTTCTGCTTTAGTTTAGTCAGCATCCAGACTAATAGCCAAATTCCATTATTAGACCTGATAATGGAAACTTTAAAATAGAAAGGAGCTGGGTGTTGAAGCTTCGAGTTAGCAAGAACTGCAGATGCTGGAGTCAGAAACAACACAGTGTAGAGCTGGAGGACACAGCAGGTCAGGCAGCATCAGAGGAGCAGGAAAGTTGACGTTTCGGGTCAGGACCCTTCTTCAGAAATGGGGGAGGGGGAAGGAAATTGGGAAATAAATAGAGAGAGGAGAGGTGGGATGGTGATAGGTGAGTGCAGGTAGGGAGTGTGGGGGACTGGTCAGTGGGATGGATGGGGTGGATAGGTGGGAGAGAAGATGGACGGGGTGGATAGGTGGGAGAGAAGATGGACAGGTTGTGTCAGGTCAGGGAGACGAGAGGGAGGATGGGTGGGGCTGAAGAAAGGTAGGTGGGGTGGTGATAGGTGGATGGTGGGGGGGTGGTGGGGATTGGGGTCAGTGGGATGGGTGGGGCAGATAGGTGGGAGAGAAGATCGACAGATAGTGTCAGGTCAAGGAGGTGGGGATGACAGGGAAGGTTGGACATGGGATAAGGCCGGGGTTGGGGAGATTTTAAAACTGGTGAATCCCATGTTTAGGCCATGGGCTGTACGCTCCCAAGGCAGAATATGAGGTGTTGCTCCTCTAGTTTCAATGTGGCATCATTGTGACAGTGGAGGAGGCCCAGGATGGACATGTCACCCAGGCAGTGGTAGGGGGAGTTAAAATGGTTGGCAACTGGAAGGTGCTGTCGTTTGTCGTGTACTAAGCGCAGATGCTCTACGAAACGGTCTCTGAGTCTACGCTTGTTGAAGCTTGTTTCATTATGGGACTGTCCTTTGGAAGAAAAATTGTTGATATGCTTTGGACGCAAATGGTCTTTGTAGCTTTTTTGGATGTCTACCTCATGTTTTGCCAATTCCAAAGAGAACCGGGTACTTATTCCAGACCACATGGTCAGTCTACTTTCTGTCCCCCTTTTTGCTGTGCTCATTCCCATTCCAAATCATGGATCAAGGCTTGAGTAGGAAGTAGGGATTCCTACACAATAATGGAATAGGGAAGAGACTCACAAAACACAGTGTTTCGAATTTTGGAATAACTTCAATCTACCTGTAACCACAATGAAACCCAGTGTTTTACCTTTCCTGAAGCTTCTTCGTGGCAGAAGATGCAGAGGAATGGAGGCTAGCATTTAGCTTTGCTCTTGCAGATGCTACAATTTTACTGGCTAAAATCTCATCTCTGGATTTTCCAGGGAAGAGGTGTGTTAAAAGTGGAATAACCTAAACAGAAGAGAAAGATAGAGAGGAATTAATCCAACTGCCACCACGAATAATAGATTCAAACAAATGGAGACCATTAACGAAGACTTAACTTTACATTATCTGTCTTATTGCAGTCAATGCAATTTCCAAATATGAATGAAGGAGCCATATAAACACGAATCTCAAGAAAGAATTTACTAGAATTATTTTAAATATCTTGAATTTGTATTGCAATCTATCCATTCTTGTGCATTAACAAATCTCCAAATTAAATATTTTTTATAACGTTGGGCAAGCTTTCACCCTATGGACTAAAACATGTCTAATATCTTACTGTTTTAAGATGATTATCTGGGCAACTGGCTAAAAGCAGCATTATCTCTGTGAGAGAGTGGAGTGAGTCCATGACCCAGTGTGATATATGATTGCTGCTTCAAAGGGATGGAATTGTATAGGTATGGGAGGAGGCCATTCAGCCCACTGTACTTGCTTCACTATTTACGTTGGGCGTGACAACTCCTTCAGTTTTTAATGACATTTTTTCTCCTTCCAGAGCACATTTCCCAATGTACAAAAGTCACAGTCTTTCTGTCCTTTGTATCAATGATTAATTTTTAACCTCTGACCTCTGTTTGTGAAGCTTGCTTAACTTGTGATAGAAGATACAAAGGCCAGAGAAATAATGACTATTGACCTGCAGGCCATCAATCATTTATTAGCATCTAATAGTATACCAGACAGTCCTGCTGGCACTGTTTCAGATTTTGGCCACACCTAAAAATGTATGAATAACAACCACTTTCTGGGAGACAACCTTGATATCTACAAAATCCAACTGTTTGATTAATTTAACAGTACAAGTGTTTTACTTTGGGTAAACTCCAATTATTTGTAGACAATAATTATGTTCCTCTGTATCATTACGAAAAGCAAGAATATAGAAAAATTAACAAAAGACTCCTTTTCATCTGTATGAAGGACAACAGAGAGGTGCTATAAGATGATTCGTGAATTTTGTTTTAATCTTGATTCTGCTAATCCTCTTCATAATGAAGACGAATTGCAGTTTGCTATATACACTTTGTGGTATTTACTGTTGGTTGGTCCTAGTTTTTGTTTATTCTTGGCATGTGAACATCCCATCACTAGTAGTCCATGAACTCAGTGGCTAGCGAGGCCATTTCAAAGGGCAGTTAGAGAGTCAGGCATGTGTGTCTGCATTCACACAGAGGGTACACTTGATAAGGGTGGCAGACTTCCTCCTAAAAGGTAATATAAATTAGGCTTGGAATTTAGTCCAGATTTATCAATTAATTGGATTTAAATTCTCTCAGCTACTATAGTGGAGTTTGAACTCATGTCTCTAAGAAACTAGCCTTGATTTATTATTCAACAACATTACCACTACACTGCCATCAGAAGGTACAATGGCTTACTATATTTTTATTTTGTCTGAACATTAATGTTAAAAAATTATCAATTATGTATCCTGCAGCCTGATAGCTCATTCGGCTAACGGTATGGTTTTTGGGCTACAGGGAGAAGCTTGCTTGTGGAAGTTGACTCTTTTGTTGGTTATGAAAATGAAAGTGTCTGCAGCAAACTAAATGTTTGGTTAAATAAATGAAACATTAACTCTAATCACGGTGGTGTACTTTGCATTTTTCAAGTAAAACAAAAGAAAGTTTGCAACAAGAATAAACCATTTACCAATCAAATTAGCTCCTTTTGATCAAAAGGACATTCTAAGCATTTTTATTGCCAAAAGTGACTTTTTTTATAAGTAGTAAAAAGACTGCAATTCCCAATGGTGTAGGAATTTTTATTATGGCATAAATAAATCTTGAAAACTGCTGCAACCCTCTAGAAAGAAAATCTTCCATTCATTCAGTGCCTTATCATGTTTCCAAGGAGTCGCGAAATTTTTCTCAAGAAGCCCAGGCAATTTGTTATACAGGCATAACTAGCAGCCAATTTCCACACAGTGAGATCTGTGTTTCATCTTGAACATCTATCTTAAAGAATATAGACAGGAACTACTGTGGATGCAAGAAATCTGATACACAGTAGGTCGGTTTTGGTTTAGTGTTTAATTCTGTTAATGTTACTGCTAATGATACTGTTAAGGGAAGTCTGGAGGTGCAGTGAGTTAGCATCTCTACCTCAGGGCCACAAATTCCAAATTCAAATCCACCCACAGGACTTGTTGGGCAGTCAAGCCAGAGTCTTACTCCTCTCTGCACATTCCCTCAAGGTGGTTAAGGTAGGGAAAAGATTGTTGTCAACCTCCTTGTGGAATATGACCATCTCTTTGCAAAGAAGTTCTGCAGAGAAATTCAGTGATATTCATTGAGGTTCACCCTGAGCAGATCCATGATGCAAGACTCTGCATTCTACAGGATGTTCACAGGGACACATACCAAGACAAACTTCAACTGTGCCTGGACAAAATTTTCTCAAGGAAAGATGCTCTTTGATCTGCTCAAAACCCGCTAGTGTTCCAGTGCAAAGAGTTGTCCTTGATTGAATTTGCAGACAAGCACATTCCAAGAATCAGGACTACATGCTGAAGGATTCACTAAAGCTTGGAGGCAGCCACCACAGAGTTGCAATGGGGAATAGTCACTGCCTGAGGCCCTTCAGTCTAAATCTACAGAGGGCCTGGATACTAGAACGCCTCAGGCTGTGTGCCTTATGAAGAATTTGCTGTGTAAAGCCAGAGTATTGAAAATGTATTAGTGTGCTTCAGAGAGAAACAGGCTGTATAAAGGATTTCATAGCAATTGCAATTCCTGTAATTTCCAACTTGAAATGGTTCTATACTCAAGCTGCAGACCTGACACAAAGTGTATTGTTTAACTAAATTCGTCAGTATCATATCGTGTGGAACATGCTATATGGAATTAGTTGAACTTTCTTGCAAATATTGTAACGTTCAAGTCAAAAATGTTTTGTAATCAATTTTGATAAATGTTATGAATACATTTTTGAGGAAACAAAATGAAGGTGTGTTATAATGCAACCAAACAGGTCAAGTATCAATCTGGTTAAGGGAAGCTGATGGGCTAGTGGTATTATCACTAGATTATTAATCCAAAAACCCAGGTAATGTTCTGGGGACCTGGGTTTGAATATTGCCATGGCAGATGGTGGAATTTAAATTCAAAAGAAGTTTAGACTTAAGAGTCTACTGTGACCTTGAAACAGTTGTCAATTGCTGGGGAAAACCCACCTGACTCACTAATGTCCTTCAGGAAAGGAAACTGCTGTCTTTACCTGGTCTGACCTACATGTGACTCCAGACTCACAGTGATGTGGTTGACTCTTAACTGTCCTCTGGGCAATTAGGGATGGAAAATAAATGCCAGTTTGGTCAATTATACCCACATCCTTTGAATGAATAGAAAGAAACAAAAAGACTTTCCGTCATGACTATAACAGGAAGTAAGAGTGGAAAAATTACCTGGTCACCCAATGCCATGTAGAAGCTGCCTCTCCACATTAAAATACTCCTTGCAGCGATTGTCTGTTCTGATCGACTCTCACATAAACACACAACAACGTGTATAGATCTGACTTGAAATGTTACCTCTTTATTTCTTACATCCAACAGCAATGAGATGATTGCATCTTCCTGGGAACCAGACATTTGCTGCAGATTTGCTCGTGTTTTTGCCCTATGAAGGTAGTACTGGGACACCTGTGGATTGCTCTCAATGGCACTGGTAAATTGCTGCTCGGCCTGCTGATAGTTCCTGGTTCCAAATGAAACAAAAGAAAATTTAATCTGTTTTCAACATTATTTCTAAAGTGCAAAGAAATGTTCAGCAACATAAGTAAAATGGGGAAATGGAACATTGTTGTTGCCTTCACACAGTAGCAAAGCTCTGAGAACGTTGCATTAACAGCTATAACCCCACAATGGCAAAGGACACACGTGACATAAAACCCACATTTAGTTGAATTCAACTGATAAAATCTAGAATAAGAAGGTAGTATCAGTGATGGTGACGATAACAACTATCAGAGGTTGGTATGAAAAGCCATCTGATTTCCCAATGCTCTTTTGTGAAGGAAACTGCCATTTTTAAACCTGGTCTGGTCTACACGTAATTCCAGATGCAGAGGAACATGATTGACTTTTAACTCCCATCTCAAGTGGCTGAGCAAGAACGATAAGGGATGGGTAATAAACGATGGCACAGCCAGCCACACCCATATCCCGTGAACAAATAAAAGAAACATTCATGCCATGGTACCAGAGTGCAATGAGTGGCAGATTCAAACACTTCAGGGAGTTAAGTGAAGGAAGGAAAAGAGGTGTTTCTGTTCCTTTTTGCTCAGCAACCTCCAGGAACTGATTCTTACTCTGCCGCAGGAGAAGGAGCTTATTAATTGGTGATTATCTGGTAAGTGATTAAGGTTTATTCCATCCCTAAGGCTCAAAATAGTATAGCTGCTGGTGGTAAGGTTAATAAAACTTATTAAAAACTTATTAAAACTTATTAAAAAATATAAAGTTTAATGCAAAAATTAAGTAGTTCCTAAGAACACATTAAGGATGGCAGAATAGATAATGTGTCATAGTTGCAATATGTGACTGCTCCTGTGGATCTCAGTTTGGTGCAGAGCAAACACACCTACAGCAAGAGATAGTAAGAACTGCTGATGCTGGAGTCAGAGATAACACAGTGTGGAGCTGAAGGAACAGGAAAGCTGACGTTTCAGGTCAGGACCCTTCTCCAGAAATTGGGGAGGGGGAAGGGAGCTGTGAAATAAATAGAGAGAGGAGGGGTGGGGCTGGGGAAGATAAGTGGGATAGTGATAGGTGAATGCAGGTAGAGAGTGGTGGGGATTGGTCAGTGCGATGGATGGGGTGGATAGGTGGGAGAGAAGATGGACAGGTTGTGACAGGTCAGGGAGATGAGAGGGAGGATGGGTGGGGCTGGGGAAGGTAGGTGGGGTGGTGATAGGTGAGTGCAGGTAGGCAGTGGTGAGGATTAGTCAGTGAGGTGGGAGGAGCGGACAGGTGGGAGAGAAGACGGACAGGTCAAGGAGGCAGGGATGAGAGGAAGGGTTGGTCATGGGATGGGGCTGGGGGTGGGGAGATTTTGACCACCTGCAGCAAGGATGTGAAGTTTGAGCAGCTATGGATCAGACTTGAAGAGCTGGAAGGTGATCTACAGACACAGCGATGCATTAGGGAGATGGAAGGTTATCTGAATCATTTGTACCAAGAGGCAGTCATGCCACTTAAGGGATGGATCACCTAATTTGGTCAATATAAAGGAACAAGCGTGTAAGTCTGTGATGAGGCAGTTAGGGGAACCCAGAGCGTGGGGGCCATGCAATAGGTATGTCCAATAGGTATGAGGATGCTTCAACTGGTCTGGATGAGGGGGAGGGCTGGAGAATGGATGAGCTAACTGAGTGTGGGACTGTGATGTAGGACGCCACTGAAGACGGGGGAATAAGAAGGAATAAAGTCACATACTGACATGGATAGAGAGTTCATTGGCAGACAGGAAACAGAGAATAGAAATAAACCAGTCTTTTCTTTGAGTATTAGGCAGTGACTCTTGGGTCCCAGCTATTCACAGTGCATATTAATGATTTAGATAAGGAAGCTAAATGTAATACTTTGCTGCTGGCAGAAAGCTGAGTATGAGGGTGAGACGTGAGGAGAATACAGAGATGCTTCGGTGTGATTTGGATCAAGTTGAGAGAGTGGGAAAATGCATCACAACTGAAGTATAATGTGAGCAAATCTGAGGTTATCCACTTTGGTAGCGAGGACAGGAAGGTAGATTACTATCTGCTATGCTGGCCTTCACAGTGAGATCTGGTCAGGGAATGCCAGTCCAGGTTACCGCTACTGAACACCTGAGCAGGGCAGGATGGGAACTGCTTTGTGCCCCCATAAGAAGCCTGGAGGAAGGGTTCTGGCAGTGCAGATACAGTGCCCAGGAGCCTATGTCCTGGCCCTGTTGAGTCGCTGTGAGGTTTGGCTGTTCCTGGGTATATACCCACCCTCCACTCTGGCCTGGTGGTACATGTTGAAGCCCTTGTAGCAGAATGTCATCTTGGAGACGTGTGGCATTGCCTTGGCACACAGCTGCAGCCGCAATGCATTTTCAACAGCTTTCTGAAACAGATCTCCTGTTCATGGTCATTCACTTCCTGAGCAAGATTTGTTCTTTAAAAAAAAATGGTTCTGTTAAAGATTGGTGAAATTTTGGAGTAAAAAGGCGCATCTTGAAGTTAACAGAGCGGAGTGAGTGAGAGGGGTAAGAGAGAAGAGGGAAGGTATAACAATGGGGGAAGAGGTGAGAAAGGAGTGAGGGAAAGAGGGAAAGGAGTTTGGGAGAGGGAAAGGGGAGCGACACAGGGGAAAGCAGACAGTGAGAGGAGGAAACTCCGGGCTGTAAGTTAACTCACTCCTGGACCCCACTTTCATGTGGAGTCTGCCTCATTAGAGGTACGCAAGATCAACGTAAGATTAACCTCTCTCTCTGGCTCAGCCTCTGTCACTACCCACTTCCTGGTGGTCATGAATTGGGGCTGATTCTTTTTCTTTCTCCAGCTCCGCTTCTTAGCCAAAAGGCAAAAACTGGCTTTATAATTGAGCATTGCTGCTTGGCACTTTGTAATAGTCATTTCTATAATTACTCATTTAAATTTATCACTTTATTGCCTTTGATTTTTTTTGATGAAGTTCATGTTTATTGTTTTAGCCTCCCTATGCTACAAGGTTGGCCAGCACTGGTGTTAGGGGATTACATGTTGGCATAGATCGAAGATTGGCTGTGTAACAGCAAACACAGCGTAGGTATAAATGATTTTTTTTCAGGTTGGCAAGATGCAATGTGCCACAGAGATCAGTGCAGGGATGGAGGGATGTAAGGTATGGTCGTCAAATTTGCTCACAACACAAAAATAATTTGTGAAGTATGTTTGAAGAGGATACAAAGAGATTAAAAAGAGATAGTGATAGGATAAGTGAGTGAGCAATGATGTGGGAAATGGAGTATAATGTGGGAAAATGTGAAATTGTCCATTCTGTTGGTAAGAAATTTTAAAAAGCCTGTTATCTAAATAGTGAGGGATTCTGAGACGTTGAGGGATCTGGGAGTCCTCATGCATGAATCACAAAAGTTGTAGTGTGCAGGTGCAGCAAGTAATTAGGAAGGATAATAGAATGTTATAATTTATTACGAGGGGAATTAAATACAAAAGTAGGAGGTTATGCTTAAGCGATACAAGGCACTGGTGAGACCGCTTCTGGAGTACTGTGTACAGTATAAGTCACCTGATTTGAGGAAGGATGTAAATGTATTGGTGGCAGTTTAGAGAAACTTTACTGGATTAGTAGCTGGAATAGGCAGGGTTTTTTTTTATGAGGAAAGGTTGGACAGACAAGGCTGGTATTTGCTGGAGTTTAGAAGAGTAAGAGGCAACTTGATTGAAACATATAAATACCTGAATGATAGAGTAGGACAGGGCAGATGTGGAGAATATGTTTCTTCTTGTGGAAGAATCTAGAACAAGGGATCACTATTTAAAAATCAGGAATTGCCCATTTAAACAGAAATTAGATGGATGCTTTTCTCTCCAAAGGTCGTTAAGTCTTTGGAACTCTCTGAAAAGATGTGGACACAGAGGATGTGAATATTTTTAAGGCAGAGGTAGACAGATTCTTGTTAAGCAAGGGACTGAAAGGTTATTAAGGGAAGGTGGATTTGAGGTTACAATCAGATCAACCCTGATGTTATTGAATGACGACGCAGGCTCGAAAGTAAGTGGCCTCCTCCTGAGAAACCAGATTTATTATCACTCCCCATGGCAAAATCTGGCCATATTTTGAAAAAGCAATGTTATGATAGCCTACTGAAACCCATCTGATTTCCTGCTGCTATCAGATATGGTTACTAATGCTGAAATTGGTTTGTAATATCGTGCTGTTTTCCACTCCAGATCTGGTAACATCTGTGCACAATCTGACACTTTACCTTAGAATTTGAAATTGGTAAATTCACAGAGAAAGGCAGAACAAAAAAGTCAGTAATAGAGAAAAAGGTATATTCCTGAGGTAACTTCCAACACAGAGCTAGAAACACTGCACATCGATTGAGGTTGCACGTTGCTGTCTCTACAATCTCACCATGACACGCACAGAAGGGAGATTCATCGTTTGTTGAAAGGAAAATGCAAATACCCGTTCTGATGTTCCATTAGGCCTTTCTCATTGTTTAGTGCAGCGATGCGGATTTTTACACGCCAGTCCTCGGGGTCCAGCTCATAAGCTTGCTCATAGTCCAATAGTGCAAAGTCCAGGTTACACTGCTTGAGGAAACAATCTGAATGAAGAACAAACCAGGCATTCCATCAAGAAAAACCACTCAACATCATTAGACAACATTCACACTGATATCTCTACTATGTTTATAAACATTCTGTTCAAGGACGTTGCAACAAAAATTTACAGAGCTGCTAATTTAATCTAATGATAATTCCCAAGGCACTTCAGAGCAGCATTGTATAAATCCAAAAAAGACTCCATGCCACATAAGGAGGTTGCGAGGTGAGAAGACTTTGGCCAACGATCTGGGAGTTTAATAAGTGTCCTAAAGGAGGAAAGCCAGGTGGAGAGGCAGAGAGGTATGAGGAGGGAATTTCGGAGCTTGGGACAAAAGCAAATGAGGGTGCAGTCACTAATTAGCAGAGCAATTATGATTGCACTAGAGGCCAGAATTAGAGGTGTGTGCTGAAATCTCGGACAGCTGTCAGGCTAGAGAAGTTAACAGAAATAAGGAGGCTGGGGTCTGCTTAGAGAAAGTCACCCAAACTGCATTATAGCCAATAATTTGTATGGAGTTATTACCTTTCTGCATTTGTCCTCTACACACCTATTTTAACATAGGGTCTCATAATATATTTGTTCAATGTTTATCAGCGTCCTTCAACTTCAACTGTATTTGAATCCTTATGTCTACTCTACTATTTTTAAAACTCTTACGATTTAGTCTATATTTATTTTCTGTTCTTGTTCTTTCTCCCAAAATGTAATGTTTCACTTTTGTCAGCATTAAATTTCATTTCATTGTGATCTGCCTCACCTATTACATTGTCACCTTCCTCCTGAGTTGCCAACAGTCCACCTCAGAGAGAAGGTAAAGAGATGAGAGAGTTTGTGAAGAGGATTTAAAAGTGATCCTGGAAGTGAAGGGGTGGGAGCAAAGAAAATGTTGTGAAAGTACCTCAGAATGTAGATGACTTTGATAAAATTCTTCTCTTTCTAATTGTCAGGCCTCTGATACCTTTCCTGCTAAGGAACATCCTGTAGTTAGTACCTTGGGGAATTGGGAACACTACCCATTTTATCCAGTGTCGGGCAGCGTTCTAGCAACATTCAAACTTAGATTGTGGGTGGGTGAGATGGGGATAAAGGGCCCAGTACATAACTTTAGCATTAGGGAGGAACCAGGATCCAATGCTTGTCACGATGGCTAATGGTAATGTAAACAAATGGGGCAAGAAGAAGGCTACACTTTTATACACTCATATCTTCTTTTTTTATTTCCAAATAGCAAGTTAATAAACTCCTTTACTGTGCGAAAGAATACACTCTATAAATAAAACAAATCGGACATAGCCATCTTATGCAAAATTGACAAAAGTACATCTGTGGGAATAATTTAAATCTGTAATCTAATCTTGGGATTCAGATGATTAGAATTTATTGACAGTTCATATTAACATTTGTGTCATCTAGATCTCTTTATTGAATTTTCTGTTACACTCAGAATTTGATTCTTTGATGTTTAATTACTACTTTTATATAGTGATGTGTAAACACTCACGGGACATTTCAAACTCAGAAGTACAAAACACATTCCAAAATTCAACATGTTATTATCTATTTGAGTCAAATGCAAAGGAGTGTTAGGAGTAACAGGAACATGTTCAGGTGGACTTTTAGTTGCTTAAATGAGTTTCAGCAAATAGTTTGCATTCCATTCATTTTGGATCTGCTAATACTTAAACAGTAATTAGGTGGTTGTGCAATATATTTCATTTTGATTTTTGTGTATGTTAGTTATGGTACACATCTTGTTGCTATTTTTTACAGACCTATAGCTGAATTGCTTTCATCTGTATAGAAACAGCCTTCGAGATAAAACAACTGACATCATCTTCAGAAAATGTTAAATTGATTGAAAGTGACAAACTGACATTTTGACAAAATGGAATTTGGTCACTGTTATTTCCAGAACTGTGAGAACCACCAGTGGAAACAGCATTCTCCTTACAATAAGCTGACAAATCAAGATGTTGCCCTTTAACTTAGCTCTGTTTCTCATTTAGCGTATACTGAAACAGTTACTGAAATCTTTGCAGTTGCAGATCCCTGCAAACCACGCTCTCCCTTACAGCAAGTGTCATCGGGAACACAAAAGAAATATTCCTTACCTCCTCGGTTAATATACAGCCCTTTTTGCTGCTTTTCTCCCCTAATACTCTGGTTTAAGAGAATAATCGCCTCCTCGATAAACCCTTTGTGGTAGCAGTGCACTGCAAAGTCATTGTATGTTAGAAGGAGTTGTTTCTGAGTGTCCAGGTAGGTGTCACTCTCTGTCGCGCTTACTTTATCCAAGACGAAGAGGTAGTCGTCAATAGCTGCATTAAAATTCTTGAGTTTCCTATACAGGGTTCCCCTAAGGATTGAAAGTAAAACAGAACTAAGGATGATAAAATGCAAAGGACAAAATTTAAGAAAAATAATAATATGGAACCAGACTGTTGATTATAATGTACAAATCATAAAAACTTTTGTATTATATTCTAGATCGCAACCAATATTAGCATAAAATTTATTAAAAATGGAAGGGAGAGAGAAATTCAAGAAAATTACAATCATTGCAGAACTTGTACTGAGCAAATTGTTGGAGCTGTAGACCAACAAGTTCTTGCTCTTGATGGGCCCCAACCTAGGGTCTTAAAGCATGTGGCTAGTGAAATATTGACGCACTGGTTTTAAATCACCAATATTCTTTAGGTTCTGTGAATGCCCCATTCAAACGGAAAATAATGAAAGCAACTTCTTTATACATGAAAAGGAAAAATGAGAACATAAAATTACAAGATTTATGCCTGCCATAGGTAAGATGTTAGGAATTATTACTAAAAGACTTTACAGTAGGGTACTTAGAAAAGTTCCAAAGATCAGGCAGAGTCAACATGATTCTGTGAAAGAGAAATCATGTTTGGCCATGTGCTGGTGATAAAGGGGAAACAACAGATGTACTAGGCTTAATTTTCCAGAAGGGATTTGACAAGGTACCACATCAAAGATTAGCCAGGAAAATAAAAGCTCATGGTGTATGGCGTAGCATATTGGCTTGGATACAAAATTGTCCAGCTAACAGGTGGAACAGTGATCACACGGGGGCAGCATAGTGGCTCAGTGGTTAGCACTGCTGCCTCACAGCACCATGGACTTGGGTTCGATTCCAGTCTGTGGAGTTTGCACATTCTCCCTGTGTCTGCATGGGTTTCCTCTGGGTGCTCTGGTTCCGTCCCACAGTCCAAAGATGTGTGGGTTGGGTGGATTCACCACGTGGAATGCAAGGTTACAAGGAAGGGGTGAGATGCTGTTTGAACGGCCAGTGTGGACTTGATGGGCCAAATGGCCTGCTTCCACAATGTAGGGATTTGTTTCCATGTCTCTTGGCTAGTAATCCAGGGTCCCAGCTTAATGTTCTACATTAAATGGGTTTAAGCAATCCTTGCTGAATGGCAGAGCAGGCTCAAGGGGCTGAGTGGCCTGCTCCTGCTTCTAATTCTAAATCTACATGCCAATAATTTCCACTAATTTAGGGAGCCCATAAGTGTAGATATTGTATGCAATTGATGTTGGGTTAGTGGAGTAGGAACTGTTGTACCAAAGGTTGGATTTCAACTGGGAATTTACAAAAATCATAACTTTGCTCTTAAGACATTAATATTAGACATCCCAAGTTACAACACTGCTGGATCCAAAATTCAGAGCTAAGGGTATTAGCTTCATAATAGTGACTTTTATGTTCAATTCTTGAAATAAATGTATTATTGGTGCCAATAATTTTGATGGGCCCGGAGAGTTTCCTAGGAATAAATATCAGCAACAATCTGTCTTGGTCCATCCACGTTGATGCTACAGTCAAAAAAAGCCCACCAGTGCCTCTACTTCCTCAGAAGGCAAAGGATAATCGGCATGTCCACAATAACCCTTTACAATTTCTATAGATGCACCATAAAAAGTATCCTATCCGGATGCATCACAGGTTGGTACAGCAACTGCACTGCCGAAGACCGCAAGAAATCACAGAGTTGTGAACACAGCCCAGTTCATCACGAAAACCAGTCCCCCATCCAGTGACTTCATCTATACTTCTCGCTGCCTCGGGAAAGCAGCTAACATAATTAAGGATCCCTCCCACCCTGGTTATACTGTCTTCCACCCTCTTTCATTGGGCAGAAGTCACAAACGTTTGAAGACACATACCAACAGAATACAGAACAGCTTCTTCCCTGCTGTAATCAGACTTATGAACAGACCTCTCGTATATTAGAGCTGATATTTCTCTGCAGCTGTAACATTGTATTCTGCACTCTGTTCTGCAAGATTCCCTCCAAGTCATGCACCATCCTAATTAGGAACTATATGGGTTTTCTGTCACGGTCTTTGGGTCAAAATCCTGAAACTCCCTTCTTAACAGGTCTGAGGGTGTACTGACATTGCAGCAGTTCAGAAAGCAGTTCACCGTCAACTTCTCCAAAGTATATCCTTAGGGATTGACAATCAGAGAGCTAGTCAGCAACATCCATCTCTCACGAATGAATGAAAAAATATAAAATATAAATGTAGAAGAGCAAATATGATTTATTGGCTGGAAAAGGATTGTTTATTATCTGTGTTGTTTATTTCCCATAACAATTATATCTTTTGACGTATTTCTTCATAATTTCATTGATTGATGGTCTGGGTTAAATATGTTTTTAAAGTGTTAAAACTTAAAATGTTATTGACCTTTTATGACAGATTTGAGAGTTTATAGTCTGGACTTGTTAAAAAACGACTGAATAAACGAACCCATTGCTTTAACTAATTCCTTGTTTGCTATTGACAGTTGTACCTGAAGACAAAATAGTCTGCTTTATTGGGGTTATTGTTGATAGCTTCATTGATGTTGTCCAGAGCACTCTTTAAGTTGCCGATCAGAGATTTATTAATCGCTCGTGCCTTTGCTTCTTCCGCTCTACTCACCAGAGTAGCCATTAGTGATAATGCCTCCTGATGATTCGGATCCAAAGCCAGGGCACTACTAACATCTTGATAACAATTAGCTATCTGTTGTCAGGGTGATTAAAAAAAGGTCACATTTCATATGCATGATACAATAAATGTAATCACAAGTAACAAAGTGTAAATTCAAACTCCACGGTCATGATGAATACTTGGAGTTTCAGAAAAACAGGAGGAGGCTATTCAGCCCATCAAGCCTGTCCCACTTTTCAATGTGATCACGGCTGATCAGCATCTTAGCCCTATCCACCTGCCTTGGCTCCATATCCCTTTATAGAATTTAAACTTCATCAATTAATGTGAAATAAAATGTTAGCCTCATTAACAATGATCTTGAAATTACTGGATTGTTGTTAAAAAAAAATCTGGTTCACTAATATCCTGAGAGAGCAGAGAAACACTGCTCTCCTCATCCAGTTTGGCCAACACACAATGTGAGTCCAGACCCTCATTAAGTGATTGACTCCTCACTGCCCTCTGAAATGGCCCAGCAAGTTACTCAATCACAGCACGCAGGCACAGAAAACACGTCCACTGCGAGTGGTGGTTGAGAAAGCAGCTCACCACTACCTTCTCAGGGGCATTCAGGTGCAGGCAATAAATGCTGCTGTCAGCAGTGATGATTGTACTCCATAACAAATAATATAAAAAAACAGTTTCGGTTAGCAAGTATATATCTGAGAGTTAAAGTGATTAGTCAAAGTAGCATCTAGCTTTTTTCACACTGGACGTGCATTGTGTGAAGAAATAGAATCTAACTCATGGGAAACAGGTGAAATATGAATATATTGAGGAGTAGCAAAAATGACTTGCTCCACATCATATGGCACCATAATACAATAAATTCCATATTTGTACCTTCTCATCAATTTGCTAATGCTACTGAATTTTGAAAATCAAGAAGAAAACATTCTAAAAGCAAGTAAGAAGTGTGATTTAAGGAGTTTAAGACAGTATTATCCTTGTGATATACCACTTTTCCTACTTGATTTTCTGTCTGTATAAGAAAGTTCAAAATAATTTTAACCCTTTTATTGTTAATGTGAAGTTGTTGCATCCTAGATTTTATAAAGGACGCTATCCAATAACTCATTGCTCTCTCTCCATTTTTATGGCAAGATTAAAGAGAATCTTTTACTTTCTCCACTGTGATTTTTCTCTGCCCATTTGTATTGGTCGCTGAGAAGCTAAGCAAGTGACCTGTTGGCAGGTTGTATTCTTGCCGAGGAATGCTCAAGCACAACATTTCTCTGATTACCTCCATTTTATCTGGTGGTAACTGTGAGGCGCTTGTTAGCTCCGTCACCTCAGGAATGCAGCCAAGACTAACTGGTTTTGGGATGCAGTAGGGGGAGGGGAGATTTTGAAGCTTGTGAAGTCCACATTGATACCATTGGGTTGCAGGGTTCCCAAGCGGCACATGAGGTGCTGTTCCTGCAACCTTCGGTGTAGCATAGGTGTTCTGCAAAGCGGTCCCCAACTTGCTCGGTTCGCACTAAAGCGAACCATTTCAACTCCCCCTCCCATTCCTCAGGCGACATGTCCATCCTGGGCCTCCTGCAGTGCCACAACGATGCCACCCGAAGGTTGCAGGAACAGCACCTCATATTCCGCTTGGGAACCCTGCAGCCCAATGATATCAATGTGGACTTTACAAGCTTCAAAATCTCCCCTCCCCCTACCGCATCCCAAAACCAGCCCAGCTTGTCCCCGCCTCCCTAACCTGTCCTTCCTCCCACCTATCCCCTCCTCCCACCTCAAGCCCCACTCCCATCTCCTACCTACTAACCTCATCTCGCCCCCTTGACCTGTCCATCCTCCCTGGACTGACCTATCTCCTCCCTAACTCCCCACCTACACTCACCTTTACTGGCTCCATCTTTGACCTGTCTGTCTTCTCTCCACCTATCTTCTCCTCAATTCATCTTCTATCCGCTTCCCCTTTCTCCCTATTCATTTCAGAACCCCCTTCCCCTCCCCCATTTCTGAAGGAGGGTCTAGGCCCGAAACGTCAGCCTTCCTGCTCCTCTGATGCTGCTTGGCCTGCTGTGTTCATCCAGCTCTACACCTTGTTATCTCAGCTTCTCCAGCATCTGCAGTTCCTACTATCTCTTGTCCACACAAATGATTGTTTTGGTTGTAATTTTTAATGCAAAGCTGCACTCAGTGTAACAAACCCTAAATCGTCTTCTGTAACTACTTTTTGCAGGGAGGTGAAGGTAAGAAACATAAAAGGACACCAAGACTAATGAAATTAAACATTAAAATGTAGCGCACTACACTTACTTGGCAAAAGTGATCATGCAGCCTCGCGCGAAGAATATAGAGCTCGGGATTGGACTTTACATGCTCAAGTTGTTCATTGACCAATTGAACAGCATCTTCAAGTCTTCCCAATGCAATCAAGGCCTCAACACTGGGAAACAAAGGAGATAATGTTTTACTCTGTTCATTGACATTCTACATGTTTGTGTTTCCAATGGATGAGCACACAAACCCTGTGTGTGATATTCCCACAAATAAATAAATTGTCACTATGGTTCAGACTTACAATCGAGCAGCAGTTGCTTGAATGAGATATTGAAACTGTATCTCAGCATGAAGGTCGGCATCTAGAAATCGAGGGGCAGCCCTGCCCCAAATGGGAGGCTTCTGCCTTTGCTCCTGAATTCTCGGTGCATCCTTCCTTTGTGTTAAACGGGTAGTGACATAAAAGTGATGTATTTAAATAAGGCCATCAGTGCTAGCTCCATGCCACACAACCAGCAGCTACTAACTGGCCATTCAACTTGCCTTGCAGCCAACCACCCTTTATGAATATTGTGATGTGCATCTACTGAAACCCCCATCCCACTTCACCCTCCACACACACACACACATTTTCCTGACTCAGAGATAATCTCCTGGCCCAGCTTTATGCTAAACTGTATGGTCTCACATTGTGATTATTTAGTTTTCTGAAGACCAGGTCAGATTTGAGGTTCGGAATAAATCATTGATAGGTAGATCATGTGTCTTGAATTTAAGGTTAGGCATTGAGATAGCTCTCTCCCCTGGTGGAAAGGATAGGAGAAATCAGGTGGTGGTTCTGAAAATTGTTTATACTGCTGAAAGCCCAATATTATTTCTAAAGCTCACTGTAAAATCACATGTCAAGGCTATGGTCTCTGCTTTCAAGGTATTTATGTGTTGCAACATATATCTGGCTGCAAATTTTCTTTAAAGTATCTAAAGTGGCAGGCAAATTATTATAACTCTCATCTGTTCGGAAGATAAAATGTTACCCCTTCATTTACAGAACCCCAACTAACATCACATTGCTCCACATGATTAACTATTCTACCGAAAATATGAAACAATAGTTTTCTCGATATGTCAAAAGGTCATGACATGCTTCATACTTATTAACATTGCGGTATCTAAACCTGTGACACATAAAGCAATTCACTGAGAGCTTTATGCTGGTTGAAGGCATTAAGATGGTCAGTTTTTATGCCATGTCCAAACAACAATGGTAGTATCTTAGATTTGGACACATTGCCAGCTTGCAATGAAGCAAGGACACCTTGAGTATGATTGCTGGAGGAGAATACAGATGATGAATCACCTCCGCATGTGGTAATGAAGATTTTCAAGTTGCATCTCTGAAGCTTGCACAAAAGCCTCTAAGGCATCCATGTATAACTTCATTTCAAAAAGACTTTGACCCTGCAGTAAAAAATACAATCAGAATTAGACACTGCTATTAAAATAAAATTGCAAGAGTGAACGTCATACAATAAAATGGATAGAAAGTCCTAAATCTAGTTTCCTTTTTACTTCTTACAGACCATGGATGGTACAGCTCATATCTTTGTCTAACTGCTATGTTCATGATAATAACATCAAGATAAAGCGAATAGTACTTTTTCTTTATTCTTCCATCTATTGCCCATCCTAAATTACCGTTGACCTGTTAAGAGTCAACCATTTCTGCCACATGTAGCTCAGACAGGGTAATGATAGGAGGTTTTATCCCTAAAGGACAATACTGAACCAGATGGATTTTCAACCATGTTCACAGTCATGGTTACCATCACTGATACAAGCTTAACATTACAGATTTTATTAACTGAATTCAAATTTCACCAGCTTCCACGGTGGAATTCGAACCCATGTCCCCAAGGCAAGATGCCCGGGTCATTGGATTACTAGCCCAGCAACATTACCACTCCATCATCATCTCCCGTATCCTAGTAGTTGCCAAAGCCCCAGAAGACAAAAGGGCTTCTCTGTCATTAGAGGGAGACAGCTGGTGGCAAGGGGTGAGGTCGAGAAGACAGGAGTTTCATGGTGACCTCAGCCGGTGTGGGAATCGAAACAAAAACAGAAATTGCTGAAGAAACTCAGCAGGTCTGGCAGCAATTTTGGAGAGAGTCCAGTGGCCTTTCTTCAGTATTTGAACCTGTGCTGTTGGCATCATTCTGCAGAGCAAATCTACCATCCAGCCAACTGAGCTAACCAACTCCCGACCTGTACTATAATCCCAACTGCTAAAGAAATATTCATTTTATTTTGTCTTAACAATTTGGATATTTCATTTCAATACACAATTTATAGCTTGAACAGAGACATTTGACACAGCTTCTAAGAATAAACTAATTTGAAAACTTAAAAAATTAAAAATTGGTTTTCAATGTATTAAAGTTATAGAGCAGGGCATTCTGAGCATCTAGTCTATGCTCCATATGTGTCATCTCCCACCTGACTTCATTTAATTCTATCATTTTATCTTTCTATTTCATAGAATAGATCATAGAATCCCTACAGTGTGGAAACACGCCCTTCAGCCCAACTAGTCCACACTGACCCTCAGAGCATCCCGCCAAGACCCATCTCCCTGTAACCCACCTAATCTACACGTCCCTGAACACTACAGGCAATTTAGCATGGCCAATCCACCTAGCCTGCATATCTCTTTGGACTGTGGGAGGAAACTGGAGCACCCAGAGGGGACCCATGCAAACACGGAGAGAATGTTCAAACTCCACACAGACAGTCACCCAAGGGTGGAATCGAACTCAGGTCCCTGGCACTGTGAGGCAGCAGTGCTAACCACTGAGCCACCATGCCACCCTATTTCTTTGTCATTGATGTACTGTATTCTCATGTATTTGCTTCAACTATTCCATATGGTAGTGAGTTCCACAGTCTAAATAAAGATGAGTAATCTCCGGGTAAAGATGTTTCCACTGAGTGCTTTATTAAAACAAAACTTGAATGAGAACGCTAAATGAAACAAACTAAAATAAAGATGGATGGGTGTACCTGGATGTACAAAGTGAGTGCTATCTGTGATCGCAAGTCTTCATCTGAGGGATCCAAAGAACTGGCCATTCTGTAGTTGACAATACAAGACTGGAAGTCTCCAATTTGGAGATATGCCTCAGCCCTTCCCAAATAAAATTCTTTCTGCATTGAGCAAGAGATTTAAAAATCAGATTCCAAGATACAAATAATAAGTAGCATTGCATTCAGCTCATGGTAGATGTTTTCAATTATGCTTTTAAGTAATTTTTATTTATAGAACCAATATGTGCTGGTACATCTAATGAAATTTGTCAAAAAAATCAATCAAATTCTAGTCCTCTCTAAGGAACTATGCTGCCCAATTTCAACTGTTTTCTTTCCAGGAGTTTGTTATTTCTGGTACCCTATAGCAAATAAAAAAGGTTTCTTCTCATTATTGAACTGCATTATCTGCTATTATCTTCATACACTGGATCAAAGAGCCACTTGGATCAACATCCTCATTGCCTCAGATGGGATTCACACTCCCTCTCCCTGCCACCAAAATATTCTTACCATCTGAGGGTTTAGAGCAATCGCTTTACTAAATGAAAACACAGCTTCCTCCAGTTTCCCAATGTGAAGAAAATGGTTTCCTTTCACCCAGCTGTAAATACAAAATATATTTGTTAAATGGATGTCTAATCAATATGATCTTATATATTCAGCTCAACTGTCCACTGCTCACCACTTGCAAAAAAAAAATCTTTTTATTCTCCTAGTGTCTTTCAGGCTGTCAAAATATCCAACCCACTGGGTCAAGGGAATCTCAGGATTGATTACTAATCTTTGATGATCTGACCTCAGCTCAGATGTTAATTTTTTTCAGTTATATGAATTTCCTTTAAGAGAGCCATTTCCTGTAGTAATTTTTAGTTATTAAATCTTTAAAGCAGAGAAATGTAAAAAAAGTAATAAAATAGAGAATGCTTGACAAACTCATCAAATCTGGCAGCATCTGTGAAGAGAGAAACATGTTAAAGTTTCAAGTCTATTACGACTCTTCTTTGGCAATGAAAAAAACATTCCTTATAAACCTCTTTAAAGCTTTCATTAGAGATGGCCATGGTCATTATTGTACTCACTGTTCTTTAGCCCGATCGTTTATTATGACTGAAAGTGTATCGTTTTTCACAACAATATCATCCAGATGAAAAATCCCACTGGATCCAAAGAAATTTTGTCGGGCTTTCTCTGTAGCTGCTTCCAGTTGTTCCTCAGATAAAGCTGTGGGAAACACACCAATTTCTGGCATTAAATCATCAGCCTGTGGAACAAAAACATTTCACTGTCAAGAGAGTTGGGCCAGTCCAGTTAATAGAACGTTGAACGGGTACGACTGTACCAATCTTTGGGAATTGAAACAAATGACGAGGTATTGAGTTTGAAGACTGTAATATTTCTTTTTATTTTGTATTTGTGATTGCGGACTGAAATTTGAAATGGTCCGCTTGAAAAAAAGCCAAGAGATATGGAAAGGATTGCAGCACATTTTAGAAGCAAGTTACATGAAGTTCATTTTAAGTGCTGTGGGGAAGTCTAGTTGCAGATGAGCTGAAGGCAACTCATATACGGAGGGAAATTTGGCTGGTAACAACTAGCTAATTGGCTTAGGGAATGCTGACTCATTATCAATGACAAAACCCTCTGCCATGTGAATGGTTCCTAGGCATCAGAACAACTTGGGAGTGTCAATGTTTGGGTCAGAAGTCATTGGACCTCTGGAAGGGAAGGAGCTGTCCTCTTTGCTGTAAACACACCCAAAGCCTGAAGAAAGCCAGCTTATTTCCGCTCATCAGTTGCTATAAGCTGTGGCTCTAAACCAATAAGTCAAAGACTTCATGTGTGAACCAGTCATTCTATGTCTCCTGAAAGCAAGTGAAATTAACTGGAGAAGGAAGATTGAGAAGCAGCAGGTCCTAACAAGGCAAAAGTAGCACCTCAGTAAACATGGTGGACAGGGACCATTGGATGGCCTTCCCAGTCTTTTCTCCCACCCATGGTACATATGCTTTTCTTTCAATGTCTCCCTCTGTATGCCTATAGGTATGTGTACGCAGGGAAAGTTTAAGAAGGTTAGAATTTTAACTAGTAGAGTTATCTGGTGGTATAATTGTTTATTGTGTCTAGAATCTATTTGTTTGTATTGATTGGTAAATCATTGTTAAGTACAGGAACCCAGTGTCTGCATTTTGTCAGCCAGGGTCTAAAAGACAAGTAATTGGGGAATGTTACATACTTTTATAAAGTATTTAGTTTTGTGATGACTTTGGGAGTGGTGGGGCTTGATTTCCAGTGTCCTATCCAGTGCAGCACAACGTGGATGCACTTGTTGAAACATGAGTCAAGCGCTCACCAACAACTGCTTATTGTTTTGAATGCTGCTAAAGCATACAAGCTCAGGGAAATCTCAGGACTCATAGCAATCAATTTCCAAAAATACATTCCAAAACATTTCAAATTGAATATTACAGAAAATGCAATAAAACGCAACTTTTTCCTGCAACATGTTGCACTCTTGAGATGTTGCGATACAATTACAATACTCTTGGTATTTACAGTATACATTCCACATCAACCTTACAGTCCGAGGAATTCTACACAGTATCACATCCCTCAGTGCAATCTCTGACTGTAAAAAACTTGTTTTCCAATAATACTTTACTCATCAAAATAACTATTACAACTGATTTTGATTTCTGTAGGTGAGGAAAGGCGAAAGATAAAATCAGCAAAGTCTCCTGCTCCTCATCTCTTTCCAGTTGGAAAATATGACTATGAAGAAGTCAATACACATTTATAGATTGCAATACTGCCAAAGAACTCATTGTCCAAACTCAGGTGAAAATGGTAAATTAGCGACGGAACAGAAGGCAGTTGGCACACTCAGAAGATTACCTTGTTGCTAGTTGCAATGTCTTTTGCTTCACGAGACAAGAAACAAATGAAAGTGACTGGTGCCCCTAGATTGCTGTTAAGGTTTCCTTGCAGTTAGTTGAGAACGCATTGGTGAACGCAAGTTATACACTGCCTCAGATCAACAGGTAATGCACGAGAAATACCTGAATTAGGAGCTGGAGTAGGCTGTTCGGCCTCTCGAGCTTGCTCTATTATTCAATGAGATCATGGATGACTTGATTACTCCACATTCCCAACTTCTCCTAATAACCTTTCACTCCACTTGCTTATCAAGAATCTATCTACCTCTACCTTAAAAATATTCAAGCCTCTGCTTCCACCTTCTTTTGAGGAAGAGCATTCCAAAAACTCATGATCTTTTCACATTAGTTTTAAATGGTCAAACACTTGTCTTGAAACAGTAACTCCTGGTTCTAGAATCTCCCACAAGAAGAAACATCCTTTCTACATGCACCCTGTCAAGGCCCCTCAGAATCTTATATGCTTCAATCAAGCTGCCTCTTAACTCTTCTAAATTCTAGTGTAAACAGGTCTAGCCTGTCAGCAAAGTCAAAAACTTCAGCATAGCTTCACAAAAGTAAACATCTTTGGGAACCTTGATTTAATTTATCTGTCATTGATTGATAGCCAATACATAATTCATAATATTATATTCATATACACTTACATAAGAAATATCTATCGATCTTAGAAACATAGAAGATAGGAGCAGGAAGAGGCCATTTGGCCCTTCAAGCGTGCTCTGCCATTCTTCACGATCATGGCTGATTGCCCAACTCAGCAGCCTAATCCTGCTTTCTCTCCATAAACTTTGATCCCAATGACCCCGAGTGCTATATCTAGTCGCCTCTTGAAAATATTCAATGTTTTGGCATCAACTACTTCCTGTGGTAATGAATTCCACAGGCTCACCACTCTTTGCGTGAAGGAATGTCTCCTCATCTCCATCCTAAATCATCTACCCCGAATCCTCATACTGTGACCCCTGGTTCTGGAGACACCCACCATCGGGCTTAATCTTAAAAGTTTCAATTGAATCCAGAATCCACTACTTTTTTGGAGTTGAGAGGTTTAGACTTCCACTATAACTTGTGTTTGAAATTGTTTCATGATTTCATTCCTAAATGTCTTTGATCCAATTTTCAGATTGCACCCCTTATTCTGGATTATCCCACCAAAAGAAATAATCTGTTTTTATCCATCTCATTGAATACTTTTATCATTTTAAACACTCCATAATTTAGTCATTTAAGCCCTGGTATCACTCTCCTGAATTTATGTTGTACCCTTTCTAATGTGAGACAGCTAAAATGTGAGGAATTAAATAGGATGCTTACAGTTTTGTGTGCTTTATCAGAAACTTTTAATAAATTCTAGATTAGTTGCTGGATTAAGTAGACCTCTTTGCAGATCAATGACAATCAAACAGCTGTGAACAAAATCTCAGATTTATAGGGCTGTGTTGATCAGAAGTGGTGTTGAACCAAATATAATTGAGAAGTGGTTAGTTAATAATTGCAGCCAGCTGTAAGTTACACATCATGTCAGCAATTCAAAGGTGACCATCCTGTGGAGCTAAACGTGGTTGCACAAATTGACTTACATCCTATTGCATTGATTATTGAGTGCAATGTTATTTGCTAAACAGTTAAAAGCTTTGTTTTTCTTACCTTAATCAAACTCTGGGACTGATTTTCTTCCTCCTCATTTAGCTCCTCAGTTTGTTCCATGATTGCATTATTCTCCATTGAGTGTTCTGCAATGTGTCCTTTATTGGACAGGAGATGTGCAAAAATCAGCTACAATCTAACCTGTAATAATAACAAAAAATTAACAAATTAAGATCTGTTGCTTGAAAAAAAAAGTCCAGAAGTTCCTGATTTCATTTCTAAATGGCCCAAGTTGAATGTTATGATTGTACTTCCTTGTTCTGGATTTCTCCACCAGAGGAAATAGCTCTCAGTGATTTAATTGCTAGCTCTGTGGGCTTAAGTCTACTGAAAGGGTGCAATGAGCTCTGACCTAATGTCTAATTTTGCAAAACCCTGTAGTTGGTACAAGATTTGATTAATTTGTCTGTACTATTCACCTATTGGAATGCAGCACCAGTTGGAAATGTCTACATTGTATCAATATAATTTAATTTTCCACATTAAAACTTCTCTATTTCGATCCTACAAGTGCTAAGACAGTTAGTGCAAATATGAGAGGTTTAAGATGTTTGAAAGCCTGTTATGCAAACATTTTTTATATGAAACAAACTAGGTGGTTTAACCATAACACATAAACTCACAGTCCCAATATATGTCACATAAATTAAACAAAATGCATTTTTGTTTCTGTTTCTATCTATTGAATTTTGCCACAGTGGTTGGAAATTGAGTCAGCTAGGAGCTGGAACTCACAGCTACTGAAACTGGCCAGTCGTATTAGGTTATCTTTAGGTATTACCAGTGGTCCACAAGTCAAGTTTGTGGTAAGTTTGCGTACAAGTTCAAAAGCTGAGAAAAATCTAACTTGTTTTGAAGATGCATGAAACATGTTTGTGGATTATGCTGGCATACTTTAATCAACCTGTTCTTAATTTAGGAAAGAAGAAATTAACTTTTTATTCATGCCTAGATTTGGGCTTTGCAACTTGAGCATTTATTGCCAATGCCTAAATGTCCCCTGGAAATCTGTGAATGAGGGAACTTGTTGAGTTCAGTTCTGAAGAAGAGTCACTAGACTCAAAATGTTACCACTTTTTTTCTCTTCACAGATGCCGCCAGACCTGCTGGCTTCCACCAGCAAGTTTATAACAATTTGGTAGTTTCATATTCACCATTACCTACACTAACTTCATGTGATTAAGGGTGAATTTAGATTCTCCAGCACTTTCTTTATACTTCATTGGCTGTGGAGCCTTTCAAACGTCTAGCGATTTTGAAAAACACACTAAATCAAGTATTTTTAAGAGGACAATCAGTCTCATCTGGGCAAGACTGTGGCACCTCTGATTGTGCAGCTCAGTTCCTAATTGTGTGAAAGTGTCAGTGTACAGGTAATGGGTGCTTCATACTGTGGTTTACACACTTCAATTCACAGCCTTTTGGATTCAGGGACCAGAGCTACTCACTGAGCTGCTGGAGAACCAGATAATTCAATGAAAGTTCTGTGGATGTTTGAGATTTGAAATTAAAACAGAATGTGTGAGAGAAACTTAGTAATTTACTGAGAAACTTAGCAGGCTTAGTGGCAACCATGGAGAGAGAAACCATTAATTTTTTGAGTCCAATAAGACTCTGTTTTGGAAGTTAAGGACCCCGGAAAAGCGATGGGTTTTATGTTGTACGAAAGAGGGGGAACACCAAATGAACAGACAGTGAGGGGATCCCAGAGCAAAAGACAAAGAGATTGAAAATGGCAGTAAAGAGGATTTAGGAGTAGCTGTTAACAGCAGAAAATTGATCAATTTTACTGAGAGCATAACCAAGCAAACAAAATGCTGAAGATAGATAATTAAATTGTAGGACAGACCCCGTGGTTTGAAATTGTTGAACTCAATGTTGAGTCCTGAATACTGTAAAAAGTGCCGAAGTGGGAAGTGAGGTGGTGTTCTACCTCCAAGCTTGTGTCTGATTTCGCTGGTACATTGCAGCAGGACTGGGACAGAAAAGCTATACCATTCGCTCTAACCTCCCACTTTTCTACAGCACAAAACACATCACCTTTAGATCCCAGACCCCTTCAGATCCAGAGAAAAGTCATGAATGGAGTCCCTGGCCATGCACTCAGATCCTGTGCATATCAACTGGCAGGAGTATTTGCAGACATCCTTAATCTCTCTTTACTATGATCTGAAGACTTCACCTGCTTCCACAAGACCTCCATCATCCTAGTACCAAAGAAAAATCATGCAGCATGCCTCAATGACGACCACCCGGTGGTTCTGATCTCCATAAGTATGAATTAATTCCAAAGGTTGGTCATGGCTCACATCAACTCCAGCCTCCCAGATTGCCTTGATCCTTCACAATTTGCCTGCCACCACAACAGGTCCACAGCAGACACTACATCCCTGGGCCACACTCATTCCTGGAACATCTGGATAACAAGGATACCTACATCAGGCTCCTATGTATTGACTATATTTCCACATTCAACACTATAATCCTAAACAAACTTAACTCCAACCTTTGACACCTAGGTCTCTGCTCCCCGCTCTGTCACTGGACCCATAGACCGCTATCAGTACGATTAGGTGACAACACCTCCTCCACAATAATCCGCAACACAGGTGCCCCGCAAGGCTGTGTACTCAGTCCCCTACTGTACTCCTTACACACTCATGATTGTGTGGCTAAATTCCACCCCAACTCCATCTACAAGTTTGCTGATGACACCACTGCTGTAGGTTGGATCTCAAACGATGACAAGACAGAATACAGGAAAGAGATTGAGTGCATACAGCATAGTGTAAAGACAACAATCTCTCCATCACCATCAACAAAATGAAGGAGCATTGACTTCAGGAAGTGGAGTGGAGGGCACACCCCTGTCTGCATCAATGGTGCTGAGGTGGAGATTGTCCAGGACATCAAGTTCCTGGGAGTGATGATCACCAACAATCTGTCCTGGTGCACCCACATTGATGCTATGGTCAAGAAAGCACAACAACTTCTCTACTTCCTCAGGAGGCGAAGGAAATTTGGCATGTCCACAAAGACACATCAATTTTTATAGATGCACCATAGGAAGCATTCTATCTGAATGCATCACAGTGTGGTATGGCAACTGCTATTCCAAAGACTGCAAGAAACTACAGAGAGTTGTGAACACAGCCCAGTCCATCACGCAAACTAGCCTCTGATCCACTGACTCCATCTATACTTCCCACTGCCTTGGGAAAGCAACCAACATAATCCAAGACCCCTCCCACCAGGTTATACCCTCTTTGTCGGGCAGAAGATATAGAAGTTTGAATACACATACCAACAAATTCAAGAACAGCTTCTTCCCCGCTATTATAAAATTTTTTAACGGACCTCTCAAATGTTAACGTTGGTCTCTCTCTGTAGCTGTAACACTATTCTGCACTCTGCTCTGCTCACCTGATGCACTTCGTATGGTAGAGTTGCCTGTATTGCATGCAAAACACTATTCACTGTATCTCAGTACATGTGACAATAATAAATCAAATCAAATGTCAGGCTGGAAGCCTTAACTCTGTGTTCTCTCTTCACGGATGAAGCCAGATCTGCCGAGTTTCCTACGGCAGTTTCTGGGATGAGCCAAGGTTACAGTGTATCAGCCACTTCCCCTCCCGGGCTCCTGAAGCTGCGACTGTTGCAGTTCCATTGTTGCAGTTGCTATGGTTACTGTGCGTCCGTTCGCTCGGCGTCTTGTTGCTATAGGCAACCAGCTCGGGGAGGCCACGAATAGAAATCTAATGCAGGAGGCGAAAAGTTGATCCATTTTAAAAATAATGCTGCATAGCCTCTGTGTGGAGACCATCGTCCGCCTGAGGTTCTCTCCACGCGTTCTGCTTTCGCCTCCTCTTTCCAGCGCTTTTTTTTTTGTATTTGTTTCAAATTTTCACAACGCTACTGTGGTCTGAGGAATATTAAATAATCGCATATATATATTCGTAGGAAACCGGTCGAAAGTTTACCTGTTACTTTGTATGATGATGAAACTAAGTTATATCAGCCTGTTGAAATGGGGGGGGGTCTGAGTCTTCTGCACGGTTTTGTTGCTTTACCTGGACACAACCGTCCCTCCGCCACACATTGCCGTCTCCGATTGGTTTGGCGGCAGATTTCCCCTGCTTTGAATGGTCAGAACTACAATCGATCACAAAGCGACCACGCCCCCCTCCGGCCCGCCCAGCCGTGAATGGTTAGACCGACCATTCAATTGACCAATCGTTATGCAAGGCTGGCTGTCGCGATGAAACCCTCCAGCTGTTGTATGTGGGGTTAAAATTGGTTTCAGAGATAGTAGGAACTGCAGATGCTGGAGAATCTGAGATAACAAGGTGCAGAGCTGGATGAACACAGCAGGCCAAGCAGCATCAGAGGAGCAGAAAAGCTGACGTTTCGGGCCTAGACCCTTCTTCAGAAATGGGGGAGGGGTAGGGGGTTCTGAAATAAATAGGGAGAGAGGGGGAGGCGGATGGAAGAGGGATAGAGGAGAAGATAGGTGGAGAGGAGACAGACAGGTCAAAGAGGCGGGGATGGAGCCAGTAAAGGTGAGTGTAGGTGGGGAGTTAGGGAGGGGATAGGTCAGCCCAGGGAGGACGGACAGGTCAAGGGGGCGGGATGAGGTTAGTAGGTA